ACTTGCATAAGGCATTGGCTCCCTCCGCTCAGCCGGCTCTGGCTGCTCCACGTCCCCCGACCCACCCACCCCACCATTGGCAGGAGAGCCTTCAGCCACTCTGTCCCCAACCTCTGGAATTCCATCCCCCAATCACTCTACCTCGCCCGCTCCTTAGCCTCCTTCAAGTCCTGCCTCAAGACCCTCCTCTTCGACCATGCCATCGCCCTTTAACTGTTGTATCCCCGATAACAACAGCATTGGCGTTTTGCCCCTTATCCCCCTGAACATCCATTACCTTCTGACTCTTCTCGGCAAAGTCGTTCTCACCGGATTCCAGTACCGAGAACCAGTGTGTGAGTGCCACACTCTTAGGGGATTTCTGTCTGTTCTTTTTTTGCTCCACGTCGGATGGTCACCCACTCACCCTTCTTCTGAGCCCTTTGTGGCTGTGGGGTGACCACCTCCTGAACTCTCTGTGGCTGTGGGGTGACCACCTCCTGAACTCCCCGTGGATGTGGGGTAACCACCTCCTGAACTCCCTGTGGCTGTGGGGTGACCAACTCCTGAACTCCGTGGCTGTGGGGTGACCACCTCCTGAACTCCCTGTGGATGTTGGGTAACCACCTCCTGAACTCTCTGTGGCTGTGGGGTGACCACTCCCTGATCTCTCTGTGGCTGTGGGGTGACCACCTCCTGAAAAGTTTGATCCATAAATTCTTCAGCCTCCCGTATCCTATGTAGTGACTGTAGCCTCTCCTCAAGCTCAGTGACCCTGAGCTGAAGCTCAAGCAGCCGGAGGCACTTCCTACACATGTTTGTTCAGAACACATGAGCCATCCTGGAGTCCCCACATGGCACACAGTGAGCATGGAATGGGTCTCAGCTGCCCTGCCAGGTTCTCAGACATGTTTTGTAACATATTTCAACTGTTTCAGGGTAAAACAAGTAATTTCCCCCCTTTTATTCCCTTGCACACACTCCTTATATACTAAACGCCTGCTCAACATCTACCGCCACAGGAATGTGATCTTTTGTGCAGGCTCTTGGGGGGTTTTGTTTCTGCTTTACAAGTTCTCACCTCATCGAATTCCCCCTCTCACCTAATTCCCAAACAGAATTCTCACTCTGTTCCTCCTCACCCCGTTCCCTCCTCATGCTCCTGGGCTCGCTGAAGAAATTGGAACTTGGGAACACAAGCTCTATTCCAGCTTCTAAAGAAGGAAGATCCAGACTACGATTTAAACAAGTTAAAAGAGTTACATTTGGCATATATAGTTGGAATAAATACATACAATAATACCTGGATACTTTTTTGGGTGATACTGAACTGGGAACCGTACAACAATATACGTGAATACCTTTTGATGGACACATATACTTGGATTAAAATGAACGTTAAATTGGACATTGCTCCATCCTCTATCTCTCATGCAGCAGTTGGTTTGGTCGATATAAATTGTTGTGAACTACAGTAAACATAGATTTATTCTGAATTAATTAACATTGATTAATCGTACATTTACATTAGTACATTACTTCACCGCAAAGTCATGAAAATAAATTAACCCTTACATTGGCACCCGAACAGGAACCCAGTTGTGTTGAAGTGGGATTAAATACAACTGTTTAATGTTGGTTAGAAATTAATTGGTGTAACTTGATAAGTTAAGTTCAGTGAGTTGGAGATTGATCTTTGGTGTTTGCTGATGGGGGTGGAGTTAATTATACTGAGACATGCAGTTATACCAATGTTGTGTCCTGTATAATTGGATATATTAGCAGATATTGTCTGATCCTATTTGGTGGCTAATGATCTTTATTTCATTTATTGGCTCCGATCCTTTTCTTTCTCGTTGACTTGTTTATTGACAAGAAAAGACATGTTGGGAGAGGCAGGAGACAATGTGAGAGAACTCAAACTTGAAGGTCAGAATGCCCCCTGGCCAGAGAAGGGGAAGTCAAAGTGAGAGAACTCAATCTTGGGGATGCCCCAGGCGAGAGAGCGATACGGAGATTCAGTTACACTGAGTTAATCATCAGGGAACTTAGATAAAGAGCAGGAGGAGCTCTTAGAGAACAGACTAACTGGTGACACTTCAATTGAGACGTGTAGTAGGCTTTGTCATGCATTAAAAAATAAAGGTATATTCACTCCCATTCTTGGCCGATTCCACTGGCTTCCCATCACACAGAGGATACAGTTCAAGATCTTGGTCCTCACCTTCAAAGCCCTCCATGGTCTTGCTACCCCCGACCTCAGTGACCTCCTAACCCCCTACCATCCTGCCCGCTCCTTCCGCTCAATGGGCTCCGGCCTGCTTCACATCCCCCACTTCACCCACCCCAACCGTGGAGGACGGGCCTTCAGTCACTCCCCATCCTCTGGAACTCCATCCCGCAGTCCCTCTGTCTCACCCCCTCCCTCGCCTCCTTTAAGACCCATCCCAAGATCTTCCTCTTCAACCGTGCCTTCGATCACCCTCCTTCCCCCCCTGCCCTCCCCAATCCTGACCCCCAGCTCAGATCCGATGTGACGACACAAGAAACATTTTAGGTTATTAATATATACAATTTTTAATACCTTACCATTAGACTGAAATATAGGAAAGGCCAGTGGGAATAGTTTCTCCTGTTCACCCTATCGAATCCCCTCATCATTTTGAAAACTTCTATTAAGTCTCCTCTTAAACTTCTCTGCTCCAAGGAGAATAATCCGAGCTTCTCCAGCATCTCCTGATAACTGAAGCCCCTCATTCCTGGTGCCATTCTGGTCAATCTCCTTTGCATCCTCTCCAATGCCTTGACATCCTTCCTAACGTGTGGGGCCCAGAACTGAACACAGTCTCTCGCTGAGGCCTAACCAGTATTTTATATAAACATTCATCGTAACTTCCTGACTTTTGTATTCTCTGCCCCTATTTATAAAGCCTCGTATCCCGGATGCTTTTTTAACAGCTTTATGCATCACTTCGCATTTCTCCACATTAAACTTCATCTGCCACATGTCGGCCCATGTTACCAGTCTGTCTATGTCCTCTTGCAGTCTGCTACCATCGTTCTCACTGTTTACTACTTTTCCAGCTTAGTATCATCTGCAAACTTGGAAATTGTACCTAAACCCAAGTCCAAGTCATTTATATAGATCAAAAACAGCAGTGGCCCAGTACTGACACCTGAGGGACACCACTTCCCTCCAGTCAGAAAAACAACCGTTCACCACCACTCTGCTCCCTCTCTCTCCTGTGCATTGGGGAGGGAGACAGAAAGGCTCTTTAAAAAGAGCTTCCAAATCAATCCCACTCCCCGCGCTCTCCCCATAGCTCTGCAAACTTGTCCTCCCCTAATAATTATCTAACAAATTATCTAATTCATTAATTATCTGACTTAAATCGTTGGGAACTACAGTAAACGTGGATACGTAAGGATTATTGGATTTATTCTGATTTAATAAACCTCAATTAATGGTGTAAGATTTGTGTCAGCCCATACCTCACCACAGGGTCATGAAAATCAATTAATCCTTACACAACCTGGGCCTAATACTCTCCGGAATTGGGTAAGCAGGAGAGAGAGAGAGAGAGAGCGCATTCCATTCTAACAATCTATCTCTGGGATTTCCATGTGTGGGTGGGATGCAGGGAATTCTCAGCTTGGATTGGAGACTCTTAAACGACGGTGATGGGTTTCTGAGTGTGTCAGACACGCGGCTCGGCACAAATAAGGCTGACAGGCACTGGGCTCAGCGCGAGAGAGACTGAGTTACTGTGGAAGTTACTTGACATCACCACCAGAGGGTCATCTTTACTCAACCTTGTACTTACACCCGATGCCCGTTTGCACACACAACAACTTGTGTTTATACAGCACCTTCACACCGGGTAGTGCCCAGAGCATTTGTGTGACACGTGTGACCGACTGGGATGTGGAGTCCTGCAGCTCAGGGGTTAGAGCCCTCACCTCGCAAGCGAGAGGACCCGGGTTCGATTTCCAGGCGGGTCAGGTCAGGGCGAAACATTGGGCAAGTTTCCTTACTCCACACACACACACACACACACACACACACACACGCGCGCCTCTGTTTACCGGCAGTCAGTAGGAACCCGGTTATTAGTCGATTGGGGGGATCGCTTTTCCGGGATAATAATCCCTTCAAAAAATAATAATAATAATAATTTGGTCACTTCAACCTGTGACTGTTTGTGGGGACACTGCTGTGCGCAATTGGCTGCAACGTTTCGCCCACAAAATACAGTCAGTTCAACATCTCAAAGATGTGATAAGGCGCTATATCAAATGCGAAGATTATTATGATGATGATGTTGTCGAGGCTCCCAAACTCTAATGATATGGACTTTTCCTCCCCTTTCTCCCCTTCCCCGCGCTCTCCCTCACTCTTATCTCTCTCTCCTTCCCCTTCCCTCTCTCTCTTATTTCTCTCTCCCCCCACCCCTCTCTCCCCCTCTTACTTAGAAGACAGTTTCTATTTATATTTAAGAGCTGCAGAAAAAGAAAATTGGCATTTAATGTGTCCGTGATCTCTGCCCCAACTTAAATATTTGATAAAATGCTAATATTCATGACTCAAACCCACACCCTCCTGAACCCCAGATGCACCGATCGACAAAGCAACAGAAAACAACAAATTACATTCATAAAGCGCCTTTCACGTCAGGACAATGTCCTAAAGCGCCGAGAGACAAACTGTTGTAGTTTAAAATCAATCAAAACCCTTAAAAGTAACATTTTAATGGGGTTCTGTACAAGGGGGCAGTTGCAGACACACAGGCGACAATAATTCCAATAATTCCTTGTAGATGTCTTTGGACAACTGTAGAATCGTACAGTGCAGAAGGAGACCATTCGGCCCATCGTGTCTGTGCCGCTCTTTGAAAGAGCTTCCAAATCAACCCCACTCCCCCGCTCTCTCCTCACAGCCCTGATCAACCCCACTCCCCCGCGCTCTCCCCATAGCCCTGATCAACCCCACTCCCCCGCGCTCTCCCCATAGCTCTGCAAACTCGCCTTCCTCTAAACACACAAACATAAACACACCTCGTGTTACAATGGATTAATAATGAGCCATATTAACAATATTGATATGTATATAATAACATATAGAGAGATATGATACGAGTCTCTATGAGGTCAGTGGGGGGAGAAGCAGGCAGGCCATGGCTGCCCAGGCAAGGCTGGGTGGGGTCGGCGAGACACTCTTTGAGGGGTTAAACACCACGACACTCCCCAGACCTGTGCCCTTCACCATCATAGGAACATATGTCTTTAAGAGAGAAAACAGAGGGTGAATTATCCTCTTAAACACCCCCATCTCTTTGCCCCCCTCCTCCCCGCTCAGCATACCCTCCCTCCCTCCCCACAGCATTCCCCAATTTTCGGGGAATTTTCGGCCACGACACAGAGAGAGAGAGAAAGAGAGAGAGGGGAGAGAGAGAGATCTCACATCTCTTGGTCAGGTGATTAAGGGATATGCGGCAAAGGCCGGTAATTGGAGTTTAGGTGCAGATCAGCCACGATCTAATAGAATGGGGAACAGACTCGTGGGGCTGAATGGCTCCTCCTGTTCCTAGAAGCTCCCTTCTCTTTTCCCGACATGGCAGTGGGAGAGATCTGTAATGCCCTCCTGAACAGGGCACAGACGGGGAGTGAGTGAGGTTTAACGTCTCATCTGAAGAACAAGGTGGAGTCCTGTAGCTCAGTGGTTAGAGCACTCGCTTTGCAAGTGAGAGACCTGAGTTCAATTCCAGGCAGAGGGCGAAACCTCGGGCAAGTTTCCTTACTCCACACAGAGCCTAATAATAATCCCTCCAAAACCAAAACAATAATAAATTGGTCATTTTCAATCTACGACTGTTTGTGGGACATTGCTGTGCGCAATTGGCTGCCGCGTTCGCCCACAAATATACAGTCAATTCACTTTACAGTGTGTTCTGTGAAGCGCTTTGGGACGTCCTCCCGACGTGAAAAGCGCTATATCAAATGCAAGGATTATTATTATTATTATTATTATAAGGTCTCTGACAATGGGTCTCCCTCTCTCTCTCTCCCGCTCTCGCTCACTCTCTCTCTCGCTCTCCTCTCTCCCACTTCTCTCTCCCCCATCTCTGGGCTGTGATTCTCTAATCCTTTAAAACTGCAAGGAAAACGGAATTACCTTCAGGGGACAGAGGCCGTAATTTCGGGAGCCGTTGCCTTTTGCTGCTTGTTCCTGTAACGAGAAACCATCAACAACAACAACTTGGGTTTACACAGCAGCCCCCCCACCCCCCCACCACCCCCCATTCACCCAGGGTAGGGTGCCAGAGCGCTCGACAGTGAGGGAGCAATACCCCAAGTCGGGGAGGGAGGGAGGGAGGGAGGGAGAGGGGGTGTGAGGTGAGAATAGGCACCGGCGAAGGGGAAGGTCTTCAAGCGCACCCCGGATCTGGGGAAGGAAGGGGGCAGGTGGGGGGAGTCAGAGAGGGAGAGTGTCCCAGAGTTCCCAACACAGTGCTGACAATACACCCAACGTTGGGGAGTGTTAGCGTAAGGTGGTGAGAGCCAAGGCTCAGGGGGTGGGGGAGTTGGGTGGGGGAGTGGAGAGGGGATAAGGGGGTAAAGGGGCACAGAGCGTGAGTTGGTGGGGGTGAAATGGGGGTATAACCAGCTCAAACACACGGTGTCACGGTGGCTGATGGCTGGTACCTGAAGGCTGGCACACATAGCATTGACCTCTGCGGTCACCTGGGGGCCGAGGTCGGGGGCCCGCGACTCCGCCCTCTCTGGGGTGGGGGTCCTTGGGCTGGTCACGACTGCAGCCATGGACATCACTCCCCTCGTCACATCCATCCCGTTCCTGAACCCTTGGATCGCGTTCCCTGCAACACAGGCATCTGGTAAACGGGTACACAGGATATACACACACCTGCGCACACACTGAGAGAGGGGGAGAGAGAGAGAGAGAGAGAGAGAGAGAGAGAGGACGGGAGAGAGAGGGGCGGAGAGAGAGAGAGGAGGGGAGAGAGGGGGGGAGAAAGAGAGTGCGCCCCAGTGTCTGAGACGCTGACGTTCGGATGAGACGTTAAACCTCACACTCCCCACTCTCGCCCGAATCCATTGGCTCCCTATCCTTCAGAGGATCCAGTTCAAGACCCTGGTCACCTCTGAAGCCCTCCATGGCCTCGCCCCACCCTACCTCTGCAACCTCCTAACCCCCTACCAACCCGCCCGCTCCCTCCCCTCAGCCGCTCTGACTGCGCCACGTCCCCCGACCTACCATTGGCGGTAGAGCCTTCAGCCACTCTGCCCCAACCTCTGGAATTCCATCCCCCAGTCACTCCGCCTCAACCCCTCCTTAGCCTCCTTCAAGCCCTGCCTCAAGACCCTCCCCTTGGACCATGCCATCGCCCCCCCCCTCCCTTAGCCCCCCTGACCCCAGCTCGGGTCTGAAATGCTGTCACTGTCCAGCGCCTTGGGACGTCCTCCTGGCGTGAAAGGCGCTGTACACATGGAATCTTGTTGTTGTCTGTGCTCTGTTCGGGCGGACGTTAAAGATCTCTTCCCACAGCGCTGTCGGGGGAAAAAAGAAGGGAGTTTCTCTGTCTCGGTGTCTTGGCCGACAATTCCCCCCCAATAAAATCGCTCTCTCGTTTCACTCCTGTTTGTGGGGACGTCGCTGGGCGCAATTGAGCTGCCAGGTTACCTTACAACAGGCACAGTCACTACACTTTGCAGCAAACCATCACCTCATCCGAACGACAGCCTCTCCAACAACGCAGCGAGTGTGGGGAGGGGGGAAGAGCGAGGGGTTAGGGCGATAGCTAGCGTGAGGGGGTTTGGGGGGGACACGGAGAGACTTACTCAGGCAGGTATTTTCTTTGAAGAAATTGAGGAACTTGTGGCAGTCTCCGCGCTGGTTCCCACTCCCACTGCAGGTACACCAGGGAGCCACTGCCTCACTCCCTGACACGTAATTCGGAGTCATCTCACTTCCTGGGTGAGAGACAGAGAGAGAGAGAGAGAGGGAGAGCGCGAGAGGGAGAGGGAGAGAGCACCAGACAGACAGAGAGACACAGAGAGACCCGAGACACAGAGAGTGAGACAGACAGAGAGACACAGAGAGTGAGACAGACAGAGAGACACAGAGAGTGAGACAGACAGAGAGACACAGAGAGTGAGACAGAGAGAGAGAGAAACAGAGACAGAGAGAAGGAAAGAGAGAGAAACGGAGGAGATAGAGAGACAACTCAGTAACAGTCACTCGGGTTCTACCCCACACCCCCTCCCTCCCCCTCCACTGACTGCCCCCCATCACCCCTCTCTCTCCCCCCTCCCACCCCGCCCTCTCCCCCCTCCCACCCCTCTCTCTCCCCCCTCCCACCACCCCTCTCTCTCCCCCTCCCACCACCCCTCTCTCTCCCCCCTCCCACCACCCCTCTCTCTCCCCCCTCCCACTCCCCCCACCACCCCTCTCTCCCCATGACAGGGGGTCAGTCTCACCGATCAGGCCAGAGTAAGCCAGCAGACACGCGGGGTAATTCTCCCGGAAACACCCGCTCATTGCTTTCAGTGCCGGTTGGCAGTTGGTCAGGAAATCAGCCAACCTCGACCTGGGGACCAAACACCGACACCTCAAGTCATCGGGTCCTCAGCGACACCGGAATAATCCTCGCGTTTGACCCAGTTTGTGGGGATGTCGCCGGGTGCAATTGGCTGCCCCGTTTCCCCCACAAAACACACAGTCACTACACTTTTCCGTGTATCCTGTGAAGCGCTTTGAGACGTCTCGAAGACGTGATGAGGCGCCGGGTCAAATGCCAGGATTATTGTTGTTAGTATTATTATTATTGGTGAAATCTATGGTGAAAATCGGCTCTCACCTGCACATAATGTCTGACTGGCATTGCCTGTGTAGGGCCAGGCAGTTGGGTTGCTCTGCGTCCTGGGGGGAGAAGGAACAACAACTTGTATTACATAATAATAAAAATAATAATAATAATCCTTGCATTTGACACAGGGCCTGATCTCGTCTTCAAGGCATCTCAAAGCGCTTCTCAGAATATGTGTAGTCCTGTAGTTCAGGGGTTAGAGCCCTCGCCTCGTAAGCGAGAGACCTAGCCCTCGCTCCCACCCCTCGCCCCCACCCCTTGCCCCCAGCCCTCGCCCCACTGCCCTCGCCCCCATCCTTACCCCCTGGTAAGAGCAGGCTGGCACAATGGTTTGAAGCCTCCTGTTCTCACATTTCGGGTTCCCGCACGGGCAGAAGAGCATCCGGTGGCTGAGCCGGACAGGGACGCGGGTAAAGAACTGCCGTAGTGCCCTGTGGCACTTGTGACGGCTGCAGATGCTGGAGGGGGGCACTCGGCTGGTGCAGGTGGTGATGTACTGCGACCGATGCTTCTTACATGAGGAGTTGAGGTTACAATCCCGCGCTGCTGGCACACACCCGTTCCCTGTCACTCGCAGCCCCTCAGCTTCTGCCAACAACACGAGGGTCTGTGTCAGGGAAATCCCCCCCACCCTCCACCCGCCCACCTGCCCACCCGCCCACGGCAGGGACTCCGAGCTCCCACCTGCACCCCAACCCTCAACAACTCGCCCCTCACACAGGGTAGCGCTCGAAACCCCCCTACCGCTCTCACCCCCATCCCTCACCCTTACCCCCCGCTCTCACCCCCATCCCTCACGCTTACCCCTCCGCTCTCAACGCCATCCCTCACCCTTACCCCCCGCTCTCACCCCCATCCCTCACCCTTACCCCCCGCTCTCACCCCCATCTCTCACCCTTACCACCCCGCTCTCACCCCCATCCCTCACCTTTTACCCCCCGCTCTCACCCCCATCCCTCACCTTTACCCCCCCCGCTCTCAACGCCATCCCTCACTCTTAACCCCCCGCTCTTACCCCCATCCCTCACCCTTAACCCCCACTCTCACCCCCATCCCTCACCCCACCCCCGCTCTCACCCCCATCCCTCAGCCTTACCCCACCCCAACTCCAACCGATCACCCCCATCCCTCACCCTCCACTCCCATCCCCCCATTCCCCACCAACCTGACCCCAAAACATAATTGGTACCTGAGCTGATGCCAGTCGGGGGGAAGAGGTCAGAAAGTTGGGAGTTGAGGGGGTCATAAGGTGAACTGTCGTACATGTTATCCCCTGGGGGGTCACAGAGGCAATGGGGTCACTCGATCAGCCCAGCGGGCAAACTGCAACAGCACCGACAACGACACCGACAACAACACCGACATCGAGGGTGGGGACGGGGGAGCGAGGGCGGGGGATTGAGGTGAGGGCTGAGTGGGGGGGGTGTGTGTGCGGTGAGAGTTGGGGAGCTTACCCCAGTAAATGCCCCAGTAAATGGCCAGACACTGCCTCTCCTTCCGGGACCCTTTGCGACAACGACAGTTGAAGAGGGGGCTTTGCTGGAGTCCGAGGACGGCGGCCAGACACTGGCCCCTGGCCCCAGGGCCACGCACACCGGGGTCCGAGCACTGGCGCAGGGTCTCGTAATGGTCATTGCAGCCGGGCTCTGCCTTACACAGCTCACTAGCCTGGACACAATCAGCTCTCTCCCCAGCACAGAGAGCCCCCACCTCTGCAAACAGCGGGGGGGGGGGGGGGGGGACAGGGAGAGAGAGAGAGAGATCAGCAACAACACATTGCATTTACGCAGTGCCTTTCACATCAGGAGGACCACCCTCCCACCCTCACCCCCAAATCCTCACGCACCCGAGCTGGGGGGCTGGGATAGCAGCGAGAGGGAGAGAGAGAGAGAGAGAGAGAGTGTCAGAGAGAGAGATCAACAGCCACAACACAAAAAAAGGCACCCGCACGCAGACACACACACACACTCACACACACACAGACAGACACACACACCCGCACGCAGACACACACTCACACACACACACCCGCACGCAGACACACACACTCACACAGACAGACACACACACCCGCACGCAGACACACACACTCACACAGAGACAGACACACACACCCGCACGCAGACACACACACTCACACACACACACAGACAGACACACACACCCGCACGCAGACACACACACTCACACAGACACAGACACACACACCCGCACGCAGACACACACACTCACACACACACAGAGACAGACACACACACCCGCACGCAGACACACACATTCACACAGAGACAGACACACACACCCGCACGCAGACACACACACTCACACACACACAGAGACAGACACACACACCCGCACGCAGACACACACACTCACACACACACAGAGACAGACACACACACACTCACACACACACAGAGACAGACACACACACCCACACGCAGACAGAGACACACACACATACAGACACAGACACATGCAGACGGAGACACACGCAGACAGAGACACACACACATACCCACACGCAGACAGAGACACACACACAGACACACACGCAGAGATAGACACACCCACCCACACACAGACACACACACATGCAGACACAGACACATGCAGACGGAGACACACACACATACCCACACGCAGACAGAGACACACACACAGACACACACGCAGAGATAGACACACCCACCCACACACAGACACACACACATGCAGACACACACACATGCAGACGGAGACACACGCAGACAGAGACACACACACATACGCCCAAACACAGACAGAGACACACACACAGACACACACGCAGACAGGCACACAGCAAAGACACAGACAGACAGACACCCACATAATAATAATATTAATAATCCTTGCATTTGATATAGCGTTTTTTACATCTTCTCAACGTCTCAAAGCACTTCACAGTATATACTGTAAAGTGAAGTGACTGTATATTTGTGGGCGAACGCGGCAGCCAATTGCGCACAGCAATGTCCCACAAACAGTCGTGGATTGAAAATGACCGATTTATTATTGTTTTTGGTTTTGGAGGGAATATTATTAGGCTCTGTGTGGAGTAAGGAAACTTGCCCAAGGTTTGGCCCTCTGCCTGGAATTGAACTCAGGTCTCTCACTTGCAAAGCGAGTGCTCTAACCACTGAGCTACAGGACTCCAGGGAAAGAGTTGGGGGGAGGGCACTCACTCTCCCCTCTCATGCACTCCCCTCTCATCCACCTACACGGAAACAGACAGAGTCATGCACACACACACACACAGACAGACAGCCAGACAGAGACACAGACAGACAGACACCAACATAGATCCACACACAAACAGACAGAGGCATTCACACACACAAAAAGGCATAGATGCCCACACCCCCACAGACAGAGAACCACACAGCCACACAGACACCCATTAGACACACACAGACACAGAGAAATGCACCCACATGTGCACAAACAGCGCTTCACTTGTTGGGAAAGAATTCATTTCAAGACTAGTTTCTGTATTTCCTATGGATAGAAACAGAGTCACTACACGTCACCTGCAGTGAATCCCGTGAGGTTTTGCGACATTCCCGTGACACGAAACGTGATTGAAAGCAAACTTGTTGATTTATTTATTTGTGTGTCTTTACATATAGAATAATAATAATAATCCTCACATTTGATATAATAATAACCGATTTAAGGCGCTAAGGAGATGCACGGATTCGAAGGCGTTTCTCACCTAGGCAGAGGAGCGTGAGGAGTAGGTGCATTGTTGGCTCCCGGGTACCAATCGCTACAGGGTCACAGCAGAGATGTCGGTCAGACAGGATACCCTCCCCATCCAGTACAGCTCCCGCCCCCAAGTCCCAAACCCCTGGGTGTGGGGGAAGAGGCTCTCACTGTCCCTGAGAAACAGCCCCAGCTCAGCACTGGAGGGTGAGGTTGAGATGGGAGAGTGTTTAGGTTGGGGAAGGGATGGGTTGGTGTCAGGCAGAGAGGATGGGCTTGGCTTGGTTTGGCTGAGTGGGGGTGGGAGGGTGCTGTGTGGGTTGGGTTAGCCAGTGTTTCTGTGTAGATTGGTTGGAGAAGGCTGGGAGGAGGGGTGGGGGGGAGAGGCTGGGAGGAGAGGGCTGTGTTGTGATGGAGAGTGTTAGGTTGGGAGAAAGGAGTTTGGGAAGGAGAGGGGAGTGTTTGGCTGGTGGGGGAGGGTGCAAGTTGGAGAGAGTTGGGGGGGAAGGGGGAAAAGTTGGGGGAGGGGGGAAGGGGGAACAGTTGGGGGGAAAGCACTCACTCTCCCCTCTCATACACACTCTCTCTTCCCCCATCTCTCACACTCTCTTTCTCAATCACACTCCCCCCCCCCCCCAACCCTCTCTTTCTCGCTCTGGCCCTCTCTCACACACACACATACACTATCTCTCCCCCTCAATCACTCTTTCCCCTCTACCACTCTCTCTCTCTCTCTCTTGCCCCACTCTAGTTCAGATGAGACGTTACCCTCAACAACAACAACAACAAGATTCCATTTATAAAGCGCCTTTCACGTCAGGAGGACGTCCCAAGGCGCTGCACAGTTGGGTCATGACCCGAGCAGGGGGGAAATGGTCAGGGTGAGGGGAGGGAGCGAGGAGGGGGGAAATGGTCAGGGTGAGGGGAGCGAAGGGAGGGAGCAAGGAGGGGGGAAATGGTCAGGGTGAGGGGAGGGAAGGGAGGGAGCGAGGAGGGGGTAGAGAGTCGAGAGCGGAGCTGAAGGCTCGGTCAAAGAGAAAGGTTTTGAGACCGGCCTTGAAGGAGGAAAGGGAGGAAACGGCGAAGGCACTGGGGATGGAGTTCCAGAGCCTCGGGGCTGAGAGGCTGAAGGCCCGACCACCGATGGTAGGGCGGTTGGGGCGGGGGAAGTGGAGCAGACCGGAGCCAGAGGAACGGAGGGTACGGGCAGGTAGGTAGGGGGATAGTAGGTTGGAGAGGTAGGAGGGAGCGAGGCCGTGAATGGCCTTGTAGGTGAGGATGAGGATCTTGAAATCAATCCTCTGGGGGATGGGGAGCCAGTGGAGGCGAGCGAGGGCGAGGGTGAGGGTGAGGGTGAGGGTGAGGGTGAGGGCGAGGGCGAGGGTGGGTGTGATGTGGTCCCGAAGCCTGGTGCGGGACAGTACACGAGCTGCAGAGTTCTGAATGACCTGCAGCTTGTGGAGGGAGGGCCGGGAAGGCCGGCGAGGAGAGAGTTCCCGTAGTCCAGCCTTGAGGTGACAAAGGCGTGGACCAGGGTTTCAGCAGCGTGAGGGGTGAGGTAGTGCCGTAGTCTGGCGATGTTCCGGAGGTGATGGAAGGCGGTGCCAGTTGTGGTGCGGATGTGAGGGAGAAAGGACAGCTCAGGGTCGAACAAAACGCCGAGGTTCCTGACTGGCTTTGAGAGGTGGAGAGTGCAGCCTTGGATGCTGATGGTGTCAGCGCCTGAGGTGCGGAGGCGCTGACGTGAGCCAATCAGGAGGGCCTCGGTTTTTCGCACGTTGAGCTGAAGAAAGTTGTCTCTCGTCCAGGACTCGATGTCGGACAGACAGCTGTCAGGACATCGGGGGTCGTGGAGTTGAGAGTAGAGGAGGAAAGGTAGAGTTGGGTGTCATCCGCATACATGTGGAAGTTAACTCCATGTCTGCGGATGATGTCACCACAGGGGGAGCATATAGAGGGTGAAGAGGAGGGGACCGAGGACAGAGCCCTGAGGGACACCACATGAGACAGTACGGGGGGTGGAGGAGAAGCCATTCGTCGAGACAAAGTGAAGACGGTGAGAAAGGTACGACCTAAACCATTCAAGGACAGTGCCTTGAAGGTTGAGGTGGGAGGACAAGCGGTGGAGGAGGATAGCGTGGTCGACCGTATCGAATGCTGCCGATAGGTCGAGGAGGACGAGGAGACAGAGGGAGCCCTGGTCACAGATGGTCAGGATATCATTGGTGACCTTGACCAGGGCAGTTTCTGTGCTATGGGCAGCACGGAAACCTGACTGAAGGGGTTCAAAAGAGAATGGGTGGAAAGGAAAGAGCGCAGTTGGGAGGCGACAACTCTTTCCAAGACCTTGGAGAGAAAGGGGAGGTTGGAGATGGGCCGGTAGCTTGATAGCTGCGACGCATCAAGGGAGGGTTTTTTCAGGGTGGGCGTGATGATGGCAGTTTTTAATGGAATGGGGACAGAGCCAGAGGAGAGGGACAGGTTGATGATGTCAGTGATATGTGGGGCAAGAAAGTGGAGCTGGGAGATAAGGAGTGGAGTGGGGATGGGGTCAAGGGAGCAGGTGGTTGGTTTTAGGGATAGGATGAGTTCAGTGACAGAGGGTGGGGAAACGGGTACAAAGGTGTGTAGGGGAGGATGGGTAGGAGTCGGAGTGTGGGAGGGAAGGGGTGGGTGGTGGGTGGAAGTTGGAGGGGAAGTGACCGCGGAGCGGATTCCCTCACACCTCATCTGTTGCCCTGTTCAGGTGGAACGTTAAAGATCCTGTCGGAAAAGAGCAGGAAGTTTCTCTCATTGGCCTGGCCGACCCTCCCCAGATAAAATCCCTCGCTCGTTATTTCACGGCTGTTTGTGGAAAACTTTGCTGCACTCAACTTGGCCGCTGTGTTTGTCCGCAAAACACAATGTTTTTGCAGTGAATCCTGTAAAGTGCTTTGAGACATCCTCGCGGCGTGAATGGTTCCCATTATTATCCGGAAATTGCACCGGAACCTGGGAATGATTCCAATCCTGCTTGAGGAAACGAGTTTGAAAGCTTTCCGAACGCAGAAGCATGAATTATGAATTTCCCCCAATTCTCTATAGATTTTAGAATCATAATTTAACTTTCTCATCATCATATTTGTGGGTATTGAGGCACCAACAACAAAATTATATTTATAAAGCGCCTTTCACATCGAGAAGACATCCCAAGGCGCTGGACAATCAGGGATTAGGACCTGAGTGTGGTGTAGGGGGATGTAGTGTGCAGGGTTGGGGTGAGGGAGGGGCAGGGGGTAGGAGGGCGGCTGAGGTCACTATCCAGGCTGATACTCCAGTTCAGCGCTGGGGGTAGAGAGAGAGAGAGATATAGAGAGTGTATTGACTGTATATTTTGCAGTGAACGCAAAAACCGATTTGCACACAACGACATCCCAACAAACAGCCTGCTCTCACCCCATTCCCTGCTCTCTCTCTCTCTCCCCCATGGTGTCTGTGCTGGGGCTCACTCCCCCACTGGAGCTCTTTACTCTAACCCCATTCCCTGCTCTCTCTCTCCCCCCAGCGTGTCTGTGCTGGGGCTCGCTCCCCCACTGGAGCTCCCTACTCTAACCTCATTCCCCGCTCTCTCTCTCTCCCCCCCATCATGTCTGTGCTGGGGCTCGCTCCCTCAGTATAGACCCATGGATTGCTGCCTCTTTTCAACACTGGACAATGTTTTATTGAAGTTGCCAGTGGGAAAGGGGAACTGAATTCCGGATAATTAGCTGCTGCTAATCTGATAGAAGAGAGGAAATTAATTCCTGATTGATACTGAGAGCGACGTTTAATTCAATTACACGTGGGGCTGTGGTGGTCTGTCTCCTACTGTCTGAGGGTGAAGAAAAGGTTGAGCGAGAGAGAGTGAGACTGAGATAAGGAGAGAGACTGGGAGAGAGAGAGAGACTCACACACACAAACTCTCACGCACACTCTCAGCACAGATAATCGCAATCAGTGTAATAATAATCCTTGCATTTGATACAGCGCCTTATCACATCTGAGAGATGTCTCAAAGCATTTCACAGGATATACTGTAAGGTGTAGTGACTGTGTATTTTGTGGGCGAAAGGCGGCAGCCAATTGCACACAGTAGTGTCCCCACAAACAGCCGTGGGTTGAGTGATTTTTTTTCTGAAGGGATTATTACCCCCAGAAAAGCGATCCTCCAATCGACTAACTGGGTTCCTTCTGACTGCTGGTAAACAGAAGCGTCTGTGTGTGTGGGGGGGGGGGGGGGTGGGGGGGAGTAAGGCAACTTGCCCAACATTTTGCCCTGACCTGACCCACATGGGAATTGAACCCAGGTCCTCTCGCTTGCGAGGACTCTGACCACTGAGCTACAGGACTTCAGTGTAGTGGCCTTGGTTTAACATCTCACCTGAATGGGGTTGGGGACTGAGGGCTGTGGCCTGGGTTGGTGGTTGAGGGCTGGGCGGAGGGTGGGAGCCGGCTTGGCTCTCCTTTCTGGACAGGAATGACCTGATCGTAATGAAATGATGAGCTGTTTTGTTGAGACTAAGGCTATTCTAATGCAGCAGATGGGAACTGATTGTGTCTGATATCATTTCCTTAATGGTGATCAGTGGGAACCTACAGAGACTCACTGGCACAGATTGAGAGAAATCGTCTTTAGATGAACACGTCAGAGAGAGACAGAGAAATTGCTCAGTGTCCGGTCTCTCCGCCTGCTCTCTCTCACACTCTCTCTCTCTCGTCCTGTATGAGGGGGTGCTGTAGAAAGGCACCTTGTTTCTCCGCCGTTCCAGGAAAGGCAACTGAGCTATAATTGTGAGCAACAGACTCACCAACAACAACAACACTTTTGTACAACGGAGTCCTGTAGACCAGGGGTTAGAGCCCTCGCCTCGCAAGCAAGAGGACTCGGGTTCCATTCCCAGACGGGTCAGGTCAGGGCAAAATGTTGGGTAAGTTTCCTTACTCCCCCCCCACACACACACGCCTGATCATAATCCCTCAAGAAAAAAAGACAGTAACAAAATTGGTCACTTCAACCCACGGCTGTTTGTGGGGACGCTGCTGTGTGCAATTGGCTGCCGCGTTTCGTCCCCAAAATAACACAGTCACTACACTTGACGGTGCATCCTTTGAAGCGCTTTGAGACAGTCTCGAAGACGTGATGAGGCACTGTGTCAATTGCAACGATTGTTACAACAAGCGCCAGGATTGTTGTTGTTCTGTGGGGAGCAGTGGTTGAGGCAGAATTCCCTTTCATCAGGAAATGAGACGGACAGTTAACGAGGAGACAATAACGGGGAACTGAGTGGAACGATCGCACACAGTGCTGTCATGGTCTGGTGTGTGGGCGGATGCAGTGACACTCCGCCCCCTACAGGAGGTGATCTGCAATTACACACAAAACACAGACCCGTTTCGCCCAGAACGTTAACGGCTCGAACCCTTCACAGGATTCACTGTAACATGTAGTGACTCCGTGTTTCTCGCTCACTTCAGTCTGAGAGGCGGATCAAAAAGAGCCGATCTTTCCTGCTGAGTGTTGCATTGTCAGAGACACCGTCCTTCGGAGCAGACGGAGCAGAGCGATGCTCTCCGCCAACCTCCCAAACAGCACTGTTCAGGTGGACATAAAAGATCTCTCCTGCGGCGCTGTCGGGAAACGAGAAGGGAGGTTCTCTATCTCTCTCTCCCGGTGTCCTGGCCGACAATGAGGGTAAACTAGCGAAGAACATAAAGACAGACTGCAACAGTTTTTATAAATATATAAAGAGGAAGAGGCTGTAAATGTGGGTCCGCTACAGGCAGAGACGGGGGGAATTATAGTAGGGGACAAAGACGTGGCAGAGTCATTAAACAAGTACTTTGCTACTGTCTTCACCTTAGAAGACACTGAAAACCTACCAATAGAGAGGAACCAAGAAGACAATGTTAGCGAGCAACTTGGGAATTAATATTAATAAAGAAATGGTTTTAGGTAAATTGTCAGGTCTTAAAACTGATAAATCTCCTGGACCTGATGGCCTACATCCTCGGGTTTTAAAAGAGGTGACTACTGAGGTAGTGAATGGCTTGTCTTTGATCTTCCAAAATTCTCTGGATTCTGGAACGGTTCCCATTGATTGGAAGATTGCAAACGTAACACCACTATTTAAGAAGGGTGGGAGAGAAAAGATGGGGAACTATAGACCAGTTAGTCTGACATCAGTGGGAGGGAAAATTCTTGAGTCCTTAATTAAAGATGTCGTTATGGGATTCCTGGAAGACCATAACAAGATTAGGCAGTCAACACGGCTTTACAAAAGGAAAGTCACGCTTCACTAATCTTTTAGAGTTTTTGAAGATGTATCTGCAGGTTAGAGAGAGGGGAACCAGTAGATGTAGTATATTTAGATTTTAAAAAGGCATTTGACAAAGTGCCACACAAAAGGCTATTGCACAAGGTTAAGGCCCACGGGATTAATGGGAATATATTAGCACGGATTGAAGAGTGGCCAACGGGTAGAAAACAGAGAGTAGGGATAAACGGGTCCTTCTCGAATTGGAGGATGTGACTAGTGGAGTGCCACAAGGATCAGTGCTTGGGCCTCAGCTATTTACCATTTACACCAATGATCCGGACGAGGACATTGAATGTAACGTATCTAAATTCGCGGATGACACTAAACTCGGTGGGAGAGTGAGCTCTGAGGATGATGCAAAAAGATTGCAACGGGATATAGATAGGCTCGGGGGGTGGGCGAGTAGGTGGCAGATGGAATTTAATGTGGGGAAGTGTGAAGTTATTCACCCGAATAAATAGAAAAACAGATCATTTTCTAGAGGGCGAGAGATTAGATAGTGTTAGTGTTCAAAGGGATTTGGGTGTCCTTGTACACCAGTCTCAAAAAGTTAGTTTGCAGGTGCAGCAGCAACTAAGAAGGCGAACGGCAGTTAGCGTTCATTGCAAAAGGTTTAGAGTACAAGAGTAGGGAAGTCTTGCTGCAACTGTATAGGGCTTTGGTGAGACCGCACCGAGAGTATTGTGTGCAGTTTTGGTCTCCTTATTTAAAAAAGGACATACTTGCCCGAGGGGGTGCAGCGTAGATTCACTCGGTTAGTTCCTGGGATGAGGGGACTGACCTATGAGGAGAGGCTGAATAAACTCGGGCTGTATTCTCCAGAGTACAGAAGAATTAGGGGAGATCTTATTGAAACATATAAGGGCTGATAAAGTAGACACTGAGGGTCTGTTTCCCCGGTGGGAGAATCTATAACCAGGGGTCACAGTCTGAAAATTAAGGGTCAGCCTTTTAGAACAGAGTTGAGGAAACATTTCTTCACTCAGAGGGCAGTGACTTTATGGAATCACTCCCCCAGAAGGGCTGTAGATGTCAGTCCTTGAACATCTTCAAGGCTGAGACTGAGAGATTTTTAAAAAACAGAGCGATTAGAGGATATGGGAATAGGGCGGGTAATTAGAGTTGGTCTGAAGATCAGCCATGATCTAATCAAATGGCGGAGCACAGGCTCGAGGGGCCGAATGGCCGACTCCTGCTCCTAATTCTTATGTTCTTATGTTCTTAATCCCTCTGATAAAATCGCTCGCTGGCTCGTTCAATGGCTGCTTGTGGACACTGTTGAGTGCAATGGCTGCCCACAAAACACAGTCACTCCATTTAAAAATCCTGCGAAGCGCTTTGAGACATCTCAACGGTGCAATAAGGCACTGTGTCAAACGCAAGGATTATTAGTTCCTCATAGTTAGTTCACTCCCGGGGGAAACAGGCTGCGTGTGGCCTGTGTGTCAGCGTAAAGGGGAAACATGGTTTAAGGGGTGAGGATTAGGATTAGGGTCAGAAATAATTGACTCTGAATCTCAAACGACGAAGATGTCTTTATTTTGAGTAAAAACGTAGTCAAAGTGTCACAGTCAATTGTCCAGCCTGTGAGATTTCTCAATAGAGTTCCTCTCCATGTGATTGATGGCTGATACCAACACAGACACACAGCATGGCTCAGAGATACTGGGGGGAGGGCAGAGGGGAGAGGAGAGAGCACGGACAAAACGAGACAGGCTTTAAAGATGGGGAGGAAGGAACCAGGGAGGAGGGTCTCAAAGAGGGAGGGGGCCAAGGGGAGGAACTCTGGAAGGGAAGGGGGCGAGGTGGAGAGATGGAGGGAGGCGGGAGTGAGAGAGGGAGGGAGAGAGGGAAGGGTGAGGGAGGGAGGGATGGGATGAGGGAGCGGATGAGGGAAGGATGGGGGTTAAATGGCATTCCAGTGGGTCGGGGTAGAGAGGCTGAAATCTGTCCTGTTGATGGTGGAGTGGGCAGGGTGGGGGGATGTGAAGCAGGCTGCAGTCCACCGAAGGGAGGGAGCGAGTGGGTTGGTACGGTGTGAGGAGGTCAGGCTGGTCAGGGGTGGGTGGAGGAGGAAGGAGGGGTAAGACCAGGGGGTAAGACCATGGAGGGATTTAAAGGTGAGTACGAGGATCTTGAACTTGATCCTCTGGGAAATGAGGAGCAGTGGAACTGGGCAAGAAGGGGGAATTAGAGTAATATGGGGTATTACACCCCATAAATGTGATTGGTTCAATGCTCTCTGCCAACCCCCCAAACCATAATATCACCAGCAAACATCCCTGAGCATCAGTTTTGAAACTCACTCCATCACTGCTGTCGAGACAGTGCTTAGTCACCACATACCAGTCAGATCAGCTTGTTCTGAGAATGCTGGTTTTATGATTCCCGGAGTCCTGTGGCTCAGGGGTTAGAGCCGTCGCCTCGCGAGCCAGAGGACCCAAGTTCGATTCCCGGGCAGGTCAGGTCAGGGTGAAACCTTAGGCAAGTTTCCTTACTCCACACACAGACACGCCTCTGTTTACCAGTCAGTAGGAACCTGCTTGTTAGATCAATTTCCAGGGGGTAATAATTCCTCCCCCAAATAATAATAATAATAGTTTGGTCACTCAACCCATGACTGTTAGTGGGGACGCTGCTGTGCGCAATTGGCTGCCGCCTTTCGCCCACAAAATACACAGTCACTACACTTTACAGTGTATCCCGTGAAGCGCTTTGAAACGTCTCAAAGACGTGATAAGGCGCTGTATCAAATGCAAGGATTATTATTACTTTATTAGCATGAGATGGTTGGTGCCCATTCCTCACACTTTATTTGGGGGTATTTTTTGGAGTAAAATAATAAAGGGTAATTGTAAATGGGGAAACGCAGCAATGGAGCTTTTGGAAGAAATGAGGATATTTTATAAAAATAGGAAAATATATCACGCCCCCTCAAGTTAGCGATTTAAAGCATCGTTCGCTAGGCTTTCACTAAAATCCGTGCATTTGGCAGCATTTCCCGCCTAGACAAAAACACACAGTCACTACACTTTACAGTGTATCCTGTGAAGTGCTTTGAGACGTCGCGAAGACATGACAAGGCACTGTATCGAATGCCAGGATTATTATTAATTATTATTATTACACTAACTGATTTCCCTTCTTGTCCTGAAATTTGAACATTATATTGTCGTACTCGCACTGGGAACTGGCGTTGTCTCGAAGTCTCTCCCTGGATCCTTGCTTGGAGGGTCCGTGCTTGGCTCCAGCCTCCTTGGGCACCGCGTAGTCATCGGTTTGGGGGTTATAGGGCACTTCGTGACCCCCGGGGTCACCCGCTAAGCCCTGCAGCTTCCAGGCGTGGCCTTTCATCTCCTCAGGCATGTCGTACAGGCACGAGTCGGCCACCCCTTCCGGCTCGTCGTAAATGGGGTCCTTGGTCGGCCGGGCTTTGGGGCGGGGATGGAGAAGCGACTCATCGATGCTATCGTAGAGGGGATCGGACGGGGCGGGGCCGGTGGGCGAGCTCTGAGGCAGGAAGGTGCTGAAGGACATTGTCTCCGAGCCGTCGCCCATGGCCCCCCGTAGGGTGAAGCAGCCCTTGTTGGTCAGGATGAGCGAGCGAGCAATGGCATCAAAGGGCACAGCGTATTCCGAGTTGGCCTCACTCGCCTGGGGTTGAGGGTTTTTGTTGCTGGGAGCCCGCACCTGGCTGTAGGTGGATTCTGCCTTGGGGGGCTGCGGCAGACCAAGCCTGGGTCCCACCGATTGGGGTTTGAGGGTGGCTGAGGCAGTTGGGGGGTGCTTACGGGGCACGTTACGAGGCTCAGACGTTGTGTCAAGCGACAGCCCTCTGAGTGGGGGCAAGGTGGCCGAACACCCTTCACCTTTGACCCTAGTTGACTTTTGACCTTGTTCCTCGCCTGGGAGGTCGCTGTGCTCGACCTCGGGACCCCCGCAGGCCAACCCCCGGGACGTGCAAAGGGTCTCGTTCTCCAAGCTGTTGGGACGCCCAACCTCCTCGCTGGAGAGCTGCTTCTGGACTTTGATGGCGGATTCGATGACCTGGAAGATGGCGTTGCCATGTCTGGTGTCGAACTCGAAACTGCCCTCCCCAGACACACAGCGCCTCCCCGCCTCGAAGGAAAATGTCACCTGTAACAAGATAATCAGGAGCAATCGTGGGTGGGTCAAAGCTCTGGAACTCCATCCCCGAGTGCCTTCGCCGCTTCCTCCCTTTCCTCCTCCATTTCCCCACTGCTCGGGTCCCGACCCAACTGCCCAGCGCCTTGGGACGTCCTCCCGACGTGAAAGGCGCTCTATAAATACAATCTTATTGTTGTTGTTGTTAATAATATCAATAACAATAATAATCCTTCCATTTGATCCAGCGCCTCATCACCCCTTCGAGACGTCTCAAAGCGCTTCATAGAATATTTCTGGGCGAAACTCGGCAGCCAATTGCGCCCAGCGACGTCCCCCACAAACAGCCGTGGATTGAGTGACCCAATTATTTTTTTGAAGGAATATTACCCCTGGAAAAGCGATCCACCAATCAACTAACAAGCTTTAAGTTCCGACGTAATGCTGAACAAACAGAGGTGTGTGTGTGTGTGTGGAGGAAGAAACTTGCCCAATGTTTCGCCCTGACCTGACCCTCCTGGGAATCGAACCCAGGTCCTCTCGTTTGCGAGGCGAGGGCTCTAACCTCTGTGCAAATGTAATTTGTTGTTGTTGTTGAGTAGTAGCCGCCTACCTTGTCCCGGCCAAACCTCCTGAGGAACCTGTAAGGCCAGGTGTAGAGAATCTCCCCTGATTTCACATCTCGTAGCTCCAAGCCCTCCTTCTCCGCGTTCAGGTTGAATGTTCCCCACAGTTGACATCTCTCAGCCGCTACCGTTTTGTGTATTGTCACCCGGAATTCCTTCACTGCAAATGAACAAGGAGACATGTCAATGGGAGCTGCCACACATAGACCCCCCACCTGCCCACCTATCCCCCCATCGCAGCATCGATGAGACGTCTTGAAGATGTAATAATAATAATCCCCTGCATTTGATATAGAGCTTTTTAGCCTGAAGTCCTGTAGCTCAGGGGATAGAGCCCTCACCTCGCAAGCGAGAGGATCTGGGTTCGGTTGCCGGTCGGGTCAGGGCTGGGCAAAACCTTGGACAAGTTTCCTTACTCCCCACACACACACACACACCCACACCTCCACACACACACACCCGCCTCTGTTTACCAGCAGTAATTAGGAACCTGGTTGTTAGTCGATTGGCCGATCGCTTTTCCGGGGATAATAATCCCTCCCCCAAAAATTAATAATAATTTAGTCACTCAATCGTGGGGACACTGCTGTGCGCAATTCGCTGCCGTGTTTCGCCCACAAAATACGCAGTCGATTCGCTTTACAGTTTATGTTGTAAACGCTTTGAGATGTTTCGAAGACGTGATAAGGAGCTGTATCAAATGTCAGGATAACGATTCTTATTTTAAATGTCTTTGAGTTGTCATTGAGAAGGAAACTGTTGGTTATAATAGCTGCTATTTTGTGCTGTGACCAGTATGTGTGTGTTGACCACTTGTGCACACTTCAGCAGCGCGAAGAAGGTATTCAGCACTTTGTGAACCGCGAGGCAGGAAGTCAGTTGAACATCTTTTCCATGACGTGACTGATGCCGTTTGCCTCTTATCAGCACACGGTCTCTGTACACTTCCCATGAGAACAAACCTCCACCAGCTCAGTGTGTGTGTGTCAGCCCGGCTCAGTGTGTGTGTGTCAGCCCGGCTCAGTGTGTATATGTGTGTGTCAGCCCGGCTCAGTGTGTGTGTGTGGTGTCAGCCCGGCTCAGTGTGTGTGGTGTGTATGTGTGTGTGTCAGCCCGGCTCAGTGTGTGTGTGTCAGCCCGGCTCAGTGTGTGTGTGTCAGCCCGGCTCAGTGTGTGTGTGTCAGCCCGGCTCAGTGTGTGTGTGTCAGCCCGGCTCAGTGTGTCCGCCAATACCTCGCCCCAAAAGCCGCTGAAACCCTGGTCCAGGCCTTTGTCACCTCTCGGATGGAGTATTCTAACGCCCTCCTCACCGGTCTCCCCTCCACCACCATCCATACAATCCAAATCATTCAAAACTCTGCCGCCGGCATTCTCACCCGCACCAAACCCCTCTCCCCGACCCCAGTCCTGGCCTTCCCCCCCACCCCCAAACCCCTCTCCCCGACCCCAGTCCTGGCCCTCTGGATACTGCCTTCCTCACTCCCTTCCCCTCGCTCCCTCTCTTCCTATTTTCAGATCTCGGCTGAAGACCTTTCTTTTCAACCGCGCCTTTGGTCACCTTCCTCCCCCTCCCCCTCCCCCTGGCTCGGCCCCGGGATACGTTACTTTGAAGCTCTGAGACGCAGTCCGGTGTGGAGGGCATTATATAAATCCAAGTTGTTGTTGTTGTTGTCTGTGTATCTGCCCGGCTCAGTGTGTGTGTGTGTGTGTGTCTGCCCGGCTCAGTGTGTCTGTGCCCGGCTCAGTGTGTGTGTGTGTGTGTGTCAGCCCGGCTCAGTGTGTGTGTGTGTGTGTGTGTGTCTGCCCGGCTCAGTGTGTGTGTGTGTGTCAGCCCGGCTCAGTGTGTGTGTGTGTGTGTGTGTCTGCCCGGCTCAGTGTGTCTGTGCCCGGCTCAGTGTGTCGGTGTATCTGCCCGGCTCAGTGAGTGTGTGTGTCAGCCGGGACTTGGAATCACACAGTGTAAGCTGACGCCCCAGTGCAGGGTTGGGGGGGTGTTACATTGTTGGAGACGACGTCCTTCAAGATGAGGCGTTAAACCTCACTCCCTCCCCGTCTGCCTGTTCAGGTGGACGTTAAAGATCCCACAACGCTGATCAAAAAGAGAAGGGAGTCTCTCTCGCTCTCTCTCGTGGTTTCCTGCCCAACAATCCCTCAAATAAAATGAGTGGCTCACCCCATGGCTGTTTATGAGACATTGATGTGCCAGCTGGCATTTTGTCCACAGGGCACACAGTCTCTCTACAGTGTATCCTGTGAAGCACATTAAGGTGTCTCAACAACATGATAAGGCACTGTACCAAATTCAGACGGGAGCTCAGTTTAATGTCTTATCTGGACGTTCTGTGGCATGACCTGGGGATAAGCAGGAAGTTTGGATTTGGTGAGGGGAAGATAAAATATAATATATAATATATAATATCCTTGTATTTGACACAGCACCTCATCACGTCTTCGAGACGTCTCAAAGCGCTTCACAAGATACACTGTAAAGGAAATTGACTGTGTATTTTGTGGGCAAAATGCGGCAGCCAATTGCGCACAGCAGCGTCCCCACAAACAGTTGTGGATTGAAGTGATCAAATTATTATTGTTTTTTTTTGAAGGGATTATTACCCCCAGAAAAGTGATCCCCCAACTGACAAACAATGAGTTCCTACTGACTGCTGGTAAATAGAGGTGTGTGTGTGTGTGTGTGGGGCGGGGGGGGGTAAGAAAACTTGCCCAACATTTCGCCCTAACCTGACCCGCCTGGGAATCGAACCCGGGTCCTCTCACTCGTGAGGCGAGGGCTCTAACCCCTGAGCTACAGGAGATGGTGGAGCCAGATCTGGTGATGAACCAGAGGCTGGTCAGAATGGCTGGTGGTGTGAGAGCAGCCGAAGACTGCGTGCCGTGTCTCAGAGCCAGGACTGGCAGCAGATCCTGATACCTGACCTGCCTGAGTTTACACCTTACTGGAGTATTTTAAGGGACTGAGAGGAAGGATGTGGTTGATTCTGGCGATGGATGTTATTCATCAGCTTTCCTGCCGCACACCGAATGCTTCTCAAAATACTTAATTTACCAACAAGCCGCTGTGTTTTGCGGCCAATTTGCACACAGTGACATCCCGCAAACAACAGCACATGACTTCTACACAGCGGCTTTCACATCAGGAGGACATCCCGAGGCGCTGGACAGTCAGGGATTTGGACCCGAGCTGGGGGTTGGGATCAGGAGGGCGGGGAGGGTGGGGGTAGGAGAGTGGCCAAAGAGGAGGGGTGGTGTCAGGGTTAAGCTTTGAGGGAGGGGGGGTGAAGGAATGAGATCAGGGGTGACAGGGTGGGGTCAGGGGTAGGTTGAGGATGAGTGGATGACAGGGGTGGGTTGGGGTGATGTCGGCGGTGTTTGGGGGGGTGAGGACCGATCAGGAGTGACGCGGGTGGAGTTGAGGGTGATGGGGGTAGGATTGAGGGGTGAGGGGTGGGGCAATAAGGGGTGGTGGTCTCACCTCCCTCCCGGCTGGCGTACAGCTCATTGTCCTCCATCAGGACGCCTGATTTCTTCCTGAGCGACTGCTGCCTGCTTTCACTTTTACTCTGCATCGTCCAGTCATTCCGGCTCATCTGTGGCAAATAATAAATAATAATAATCACAATAATAATCCTTGTGTTTGACACAGCGCCTGATCACGTCTTTGAGAGTCTCAAAGCGCTTCACAGGACGCACTGTAAAGGGAATCGGCTGTGTGTTCTGTGGGAGAAACGCGGCAGCCAATTGCACACAGCGACGTCGCTGCTAATAACCCTGAAGCGAACAAGAGATTGTATCTGGGGGACTGTCGGCCAGGATACCGGGAGAGAGAGAGAGAGAGAGAAACTCCCTTCACTTTTGGAATACTGCCATGGAGTCGTTAACTACGTCTCTCTGTGCTTCTTTCTCTGTCTCCTCTCTTTTTCTGTTAGTGTGTGTCTCTCTCTCTCTCTGTTTCATTTCTCTCTCTGCGTCTTGCTCTTTCTCTCGTCTCTTTGCAGTTCTCTTTGCAGAATCTCCCAGTTTGACTCCCTCTGACTCACACTTTTTACTGGGTCACCGGAACTTGGAAGGACTGACTCAGAACCCAGAGATCGGGACTGATAAACAGATAGCAAACAGTCAAGGTGTCTGACACTCAGAGAAACCTGTCACTGTGATCAGTCTGACATACATAGGAATATATTCTGCTTACCTAATTCCAGAGAATATTAGGCGCAGGTTGGCAAGAGCCAAGGCTTGGGGGGAGCCCAGAGTGTGCGTGTCTGGCCAAGCTTTCCCGCTGCTTGTCCAGCGAGGGCCCCCCTCCCCATTAGGGCTTTGGCTGCGGGGTTAACAGGGTTAGCAGGATTCCCTGCCCCTAGTGACTGGTCAGCCCTCCTTGGTTCTGCCAATGACCTCCATTACTCCCACTCTTGAACACTAAGGTGGATAGATATTTGTTAGGGTATAAAGGAATATGGGGCAAGGGGGTGGGTAACTGAACTTGAGGTACAGATCAGCCATGATCTTATTAAACTGGCTTGAGGGGCTGAATGGCCTCCTCCTGTTTCTACATCTATGAATCTATTGCTGGCTGCGATGAGTCGTGGGAAGTGTAGTTTTGACCCATCAATACATATGCACTGAAATTCCCAAGTGCACTGTAGATTATTGATTAAGTCGGATTTTATACGATTTACAGTTTGCCTGCAACTCAGACATTTTGAATGTCCTGTTCCTGACTAATAAGATTCATGTAAGTTTTACTGTTATTATTTTTATTATTATTACTGTTGTTATTTTTAAATTACTTTATTCTAACTATTGTTATTGTTGTTACTATTGCTATTATTGTGATTATTGCTAATATTGTTATTTATTGCTATTTTGTGTGGGATGAATCAAATCATCAAATCAGTAGTGCTCACATTATTATTTTATCATCATTATCATAATATTATTATGATGGTGATATTATATTATCAATATTATGGAAGGCTTCACATTAATATTATTATTACATTATCATTACTATTATTATTATTGTTGATATTATTATGGTGGTGATGATGATGGTGGTGATGAAGGTGGTGCTGCTCACCGGGAAGGTGGCTTCACACAGACTCTGGTTCCAGGCCTGGAACTCTGCGTTGTGAGCCGCAAACATGATGACCCTGTCTGTGGTCTCCAGGATGAACGCCCGACAGTCTGGGAGGCAGCAGCTCTCTGCCGGGGCCTCTCCAATTCGGATGCAGTCGCTCAGCCTGATCACCTTCTTGCTCTCTGCCCGGCGGGACCCTGCCTTTTCTCCCCCCACCGGACCCTCCTTAAAGTCAAAGCACTCCAGCCGGGCAGCCGAGCGAGCGGTCTCCCCGTACAGAGAGGCCCAGATCTTCCGCCATTTCTGCCAAGAAACAACATCATCAACAACAACAACAACATCGACAAGAAATCGAAAACAACATCAACAACAACATCGACATCAACATTTACAATAAAATCAACAACAAAAACATCAACAGCAACAATTTACATTTATATAGCGCCCTTAATGTCCCGGAGCACTTAACAGACTGACCCCCAATAACAACAACAATACCAACATCGACCACAAATAATCATAATAACAATAATAGTCCTTAAATTTGTTACAGCGCCTGATCACGTCGTCGAGACGCCTCAAAGCGTTTCACAGGATGTACGGTAAAGTGTGGTGAGTGTGTATTTTGTGGACCAAACGTGGCAAGCAGTTGGGCTCACACCCTGCACAGGTGCGAGTGTGAGGCACTGAGCCAAGATGAAGGGATCACACATACGATCACAGGTTACTTCAATTATTCCATGCCTTTCACACCCACAACCCTACCCTCCAGCGCTGATATCATCCATGTGTCAGCCCGGCTCAGACACTCACGCTCTCTCACCTTGAAATCAAGACCTTGGGGTCACTCGCAGCCCATTGTGTCTTTGCCCCTTGTTCTGTTATTCCTTTTTTTTATTTATCCTACATTCCCTCTCTCCCTCCTCTCTCTCCCACCTTTCTCCCTCTTTCCCAATCTCCCCTCTCCCTTTCACCCCCCCTCTCTCCTCCTCTCTCCCTCTCTCTACTCTCCCACCCTCCCCCCCTCTGACTCAAACGGCTTGTTAAGGGTTTCCTTAGTAGGTTGTATCCAGTTCCCTTTTTGAGTGACTGCAGTTATGTGCTCAGTGACCACTGGTGAGGTTCGGTTCACACGAGACTATTCTGTGAGTGGCTTTTCAAAACCTTCGTTAAGTTTCCTTACTCCACTCACAGGCCTCTGTTTCCCCGGCAGTAAGTAGGAACCCAGTTGTTAGTGGATTAGCAGATTGCTTTCCCAGCAGTTCCTCCCCCAAAAAATAATACTAAATCAATCACTCAATCGACGACTGTACACTAATGTGCATAATTGGCTGCCGTGTTTCACCCACAAAATATAATCAATTCTCTTTACAGTTTATTCTGTTAAGCGTTTTGTGACGTCTCAAAGACGTGATAAGGCACTGTATCAAATGCAAGGATTATTTTAGTTTATTTTTCTCACTGTTTGTCTGAGAGTCACTGAACTTCCATTGTTTAGTGAATCACTTACAGAGGCTCACTGCGCCTGGTCAGATTGTTGATCTGATCGCAGTGAGAAAGAGACGGAACAGATTAGCTGTCACATTCATCCACAAAACACAGTCACTTTACACTAAATGAGAGGGAGAGAGACACAACAGATCGCTTCATACTGAGTGGAGACACAAGTACATTTGTGTCAGCCCGGCTGAAGAGAGCAGTGAAGCTGAGCCCAGTGTTAGAGACAGAGGGGACAGTGAGGCTGATCCCAGTGTTAGAGACAGAGGGGACAGTGAGGCTGATCCCAGTGTTAGAGACAGAGGGGACAGTGAGGCTGATCCCAGTGTTAGAGACAGAGGAGACAGTGAGGCTGATCCCAGTGTTAGAGACAGAGGAGACAGTGAGGCTGATAATACTAATAATAATCGTTGCATTTGATACAGCATCTTATCATATCTTCGAGACGTCTCAAAGCGCTTCGCAGAATACACTGTAAAGTCAATTTTCTATATTTTTTTGGCAAAACATGGCAGCCAATTGCACAGAGCAAAGTCCCACAACCAGTCATGGATTGAAGTGACCAAATTATAATAATTTTTTTTTGAAGGATTGTTACCCCCAGAAAAGTGATCCGCCAATTGACTAACATCAAGGTTCCTACTTATTGCTAGTTAAACAGAGGTGTGTGTGTGGTATGATAGAATCACAGAATCATAGAATCGTACAGCACAAAAAGAGGCCATTCGGCCCATCGAGTTTGTGCGGCTCTCTGAAAAGAGCAATTAATGTCAGTCCCACTCCCGGCCCTTTCCCCATAACCTACAAACCCGTCTTCCTCAAATACCCGTCCACCGCGTTTTTAAAAGTAGTTATGGAATCGGCCTCGACCGCCCTTTCAGACGATGGGTTCCAGATTCGAACAACTCACTGAGTGAAGCAATGTCTTCTCACCGCCCCTCGGCTTCTTTTAGAGACTATTTGGAATCTGTGACCTCGAGTCACCGACACACCCACCAGTGGGAATAGTTTTTCCCTTTCTAACCTATCAAATCCCCTCATGATGATGAAGACCTCTATTAGGTCCGCGTCACCTTCTCTGCTCCAATGAGAATAATCCCGGCCTCTCCGGCCTTTTCTCATCATCACGGTCCCTCATTCCTGGTCCCATCCTCGTAACTCCCCTCTGTACCCTTTCCAATGCCTTAACATCCTTCCTATAGTGCGGTGCCCAGAACTGGGGCAGTATTCTAACTGAGGCCTAACCAGTGTTTTATATCAGTTAATAATAACCTCCTGACTCTTGTATTCTATGCCCCTATTTATAAAGCCCAGTATCCCATATGCCCTTTTTACAGCGTTATCTCCCTGTCCTGACACCTTCAAGGATTCATTTACCTGCCCCCCCAGGTCTCTCTGTTTCCTCACCCCCCTTAAGATTGTATTACCGCCTATATTGCCTCTCATTCTTTCCACCAAAATGGATTACTTCGCATTTCTCCACATTGAAACTCATCTGCCATGTGTCGCCCATCTTACCATTCTGTCTATGTCTTCCTGCAGTTGGCTGCTATCCTTCTCACTGTTTACCCCCTCCCTAACTTTGTGTGGTAAGAAAACTTGGCTAAGGTTTTATCCTGCCCAGAAATCGAACTTGTGTGCAATTGGCTGCTGCGATTCGCCCACAAAATACAGTCATTCACTTTACACCATATGCTTTGAAGCGCTTTGAGGCGTCTCGAAGACATGAGAAGGCGCTGTATCAAATGCAAGAATTATTGTTATTAATTATTGTGTATGTGTATCTCAAGAACAGCTGGGTACTGTGCTCCGATGTGGACTGACCAGAGCGCAGCCTGGTTTCAGTGTGGTGCAGATCTGATCTGTGCTAATTTGATGACACAGCCCAGCATCCTGTTTGCTGTGTTGATGCTGACGGGTTGCATTCAATGTCACAGTGTGGAAGAGTTTGTGAAAGGCCTCCACACCCTATGAAAATCTCATGCAAATGGACATCTGGTGAATGCTGACAGTGTTATACTCTGGCCTTTTCACTCTGGCTCCTGTTACCTCACCCTGAGGAACAGCCTTGGCAAGCTATGTAGCCAGACACTGGGGGCAGGGAATCCTCCCCCTCAGCTCCTGTTAACTCTGCAGCCAAAGCCCTAACTAATGGGTGGGGTGGTCCTAGCTGGACAAGCAGCGGGAAATCTTGCCAGACAGCGCTCTCTCAATGGCAAGCTATGTGGGTTTAGCTGGTTAATAATAATAATCCTTGCATTGTGGAGTCCTGTAGCTCAGTGGTTAGAGCACTCGCTTTGCAAGTGAGAGACCTGAGTTCAATTCCAGGCAGAGGGCGAAACCTTGGGCAAGTTTCCTTACTCCACACAGAGCCTAATAATAATCCCTCCCAAACCAAAAACAATAATAAATTGGTCATTTTCAATCTACGACTGTTTGTGGGACATTGCTGTGCGCAATTGGCTGCCGCGTTCGCCCACAAATACACAGTCAATTCACTTTACAGTGTGTTCTGTGAAGCGCTTTGGGACGTCCTCCCGACGTGAAAAGCGCTACATCAAATGCAAGGATTATTATTATTATTATTTGATATAACGTTTTTCACATCTTTGAGACGTCTCAAAGCACTTCACAGAATATACTGTAAGGTGAATTGACCGTATATTTTGTGGGCAAAACGTGGCAGCCAATTGAGCACAGCAATGTCCCCACAAACAGTTAGACTCTAGCAGTTACCCCAACACAAACTCTGGGCTTCCCCCAAGCCTTGGCTCTCACTAACCTGTGCCTAATATTCTCGAGTGTCAAGTAGGGTGCATCGCTTCAGGGACAGAGAGAGAGAGAGAGAGAGAGAGAAACAGAGAAATTTCTACATGTAGGTGACTGTCACAGTCAGGTTTGGAACACAGTGATGGGTCAATAGAAAAGACAAATCTTAAGATGGACTTTAAAGGTAAGGACAGATGGGGGGGGCAAGGAAGAGAGACTCCGAGGGGGGGGGTGGATGCTGAGGTGCAGGGTACTCCAGGAGGGACTGAGCGAACACCAGCACAGATACGATGAGGAGAGAGATAGAGCAGGTGATGGCGTTAGAGTAGAGAGCTCCAGGGGGGGAGCGAGCACCAGCACAGACCTGATGGGGAGAGAGAGAGAGATAGAGAGCAGGGAATGGGGTGAGAATAGAGAGCTCCATTGGGGGAGTGAGCCCCAGCACAGACACAATGGGGAGATGGGGAGAGAGAGAGCAAGGAATGGGATTAGGGTTGAGAGCTCCAGTCCCTAAATTAAGTTTAGCTGACTATGAATCAACAGAACAAGAGATGAGACCTCAGTTTAACGTCTCATTTAAAGGATGGCATCTCTGACAATATGGCGCTCCCTCTCTCTCTCCCTCTCTCGCTCACCCAACTCTAGGCTAGTGCATCAGCCTGGACTGTGAGCTCAGAGACATGGGGTGTGGGTGAGTGAGTAAGGCAATGAGCGAGCGTGCAAGGAAATGGTTGAGTTAGCATATTAGTGAGCGAGAGTATGAGCCAACAAGTTGCGAGTAAGTGTGTGAGCAGATAATTCAGTGTGCATTTATCAGATGTACGAGGCATAGCCAGTTCTTTGCCAGATCAGCGTAATAATAATAATCCTTGCATTTGATACAGCGCCTTATTAAGTCGTTGAAACGTCTCAAAGCGCTTTACGTGCAGCGACCGTGTATTTTGTAGGGTGATGCGGCAGCCAGTTTGCACACAGCATCATCCCGCAAACAGCCATGGAGCGAGCGACCAATTTTATTCTGGGATGTCGGCCAGGATGCCGAGAGAGAGAGAGAGAGAGTGACTCCCTTCTCTTTTCGAATAGCACCACAAGATCTTTAACAAGCAGAAGGGACCTCATTTTAACGTCTCGTCTGAAGGACAGGATCTCCGACAAAGTAAACACCTCCCAGCACTGCATTGGAGCGTCAGCTTAGACTGTGTGATTCCAAGTCCTGATGTGGGAGCTTGAACCCATAAACTTCTGGCTCACTTGCAAGAGCGCTACCATTGAGCCAGGCTGACACACACACACGCACACACTGAGATGGGCTGACACACAAGCAAACAGCGCTTTGGTGATTGAGAGCCCCCACATTAGACAAAAACCTGCTGTGTGGTTGAGGTGGTGGACACTGGTGCAGAAACTGTTGCCACACCAGGCTCGGTCACACACACACGCACACAAACAGCGCCGGAGGGAAAGAGAGAAAGATAGAAAGAAAGAGAGTGAGAGCACGGTACCTTTCCAAAGGTCTGTTGCTGCTGAATGTACAGAGCTCCCTGCTTTGTTATTTCATCCATTTTGTCATGTTGCGTTCGCTGGAGTCAGACTGCAATCGGTGATCAGTTCTGTGGTTAGAATTTGACACACACGTCACTCGTTCCACTGACACAGCTCTGGAGGTGCTCTCACACTGACTGCTGTACTTCCTTGTTCAACACTGCACTCAGCCACAGCCTCTCGCTCAGCCACGGTCCCCAAACTACACCGATTCACTTCGTAAAATGCTTATACTTATAGTTTTACAAGATACGCAGCCAATCCGCTTGACAGTGCATCCTGCAAAGAGACGTCTCAAAGACATGATAAGGCACTGTATCAAATGCAGGGATTATTACTATTATAATTATTAATCTGAATAGAAGGTGCCGGCTTCACGACGCTGACACTATGTGATGCTCTATGCCAAACAGTGCCACCACCCCTCCATCAACCCCTCCCCTCTTCACCCCACTCAGCCCAATGCAGATTTTGTTGCCTTCTTTCAAGATCACACTTTTTTAAAGCTGTTCATTTCTCTAACAGCTCATTTGTTCCCCCCGTTGCCCCCTTCCCCCACCCCCTTCTCCCCCTGACCCTCCTCATCAATCCAGAGGCAGCTGCGGGGAGCTGGGGGCCAGAGGGGGCTCACTCCCGCTAAAAAGAATATAATAATGCTTGCATTTGTTATAGTGCCTTATCACGTCTTCGAGACGTCTCAAAGTGCTTCACAGGATAAAGTGTGCAGTGTAGTGACTGGCGGGTCAGTTCAGGGTGAAACGTTGGACAAGTTTCCTTATTCCCCGTGCCTCTGTTTACCCAGCAGCAAATAGGAACCCGCTTGTTAGTCGATTGGCGGATCGCTTTTCCGGGGTTAATTGGCCTTCTGAAAAAATAATAATAATTTGATCACTCAATCCACGACTCTTTGTGGGATATACTGCTGTGGCAATTGGCTGTCGCATTTTGCCCACAATACACAACAACAACAACAAGATTAGATGTGTACAGCGCCTTTCATGTCGGGAGGACGTCCCAAGGCGCTGGACAGTGACAGCATTTCAGACCCGAGCTGAGGTCAGGGGGGAAGGGGAGGGGATGGGGGAGGTGGCCGATGGCATGGTCGAAGATGAGGGTCTTAAGGTGGGACTTGAAGGAAGGTAAGGAGGGGGCGAGGCAGAGTGACTGGGGGATGGAATTCCAGAGGTTGGGGGCAGAGTGGCTGAAGGCTCTCCCAATGGTGGGGCGGTTGGGTCGGGGGACGTGGAGCAGCCAGAGCCGGCTGAGCAGAGGGAACGGGCGGGTTGGTAGGGAGTTAGGAAGTCGCAGAGGTAGGGTGGGGCGAGGCCATGGAGGGCACTACACAGTCACTACATTTTACAGTATATTCTGTGAAGGCCTTTGAGGCGTCTCAAAGACGTGATAAGGTGCTATACAGCAAATGCAAGGATTATTATAATAATATGTGTTGCTGTCAGGCTTTTCTTGTGATGAACTATGATGAGAAACAGTTTAAGGAGCACCTCAAATTTACGTCAACAGTCAGGCCTGGAAACAGAGTTCTGTCTTTGGTTTTGTCCTGTCTGAAAGAGGAAGTGTGAAGGGCAGAAACAAGAAAATCATATGTCCTTCACTGATCTGATCCATTGCGATGAGGCCCTGAGAGTGAGAGAGAGAGCGAGAGAACACACACCTTCTAAACAGCCTCTGGCTGAAAAACAGGAAGCTCAGAGCATCGCCAGGCTGGCTTCCTCCTCCAGCCACTACTTCATCAACTGTGTTTACAGCAAGTTTACACAAATGTCGCCACAACAGGGTTCCTACTGACTGTGAGGTAAACACATGCGTGTGTGTCTGTGTGTATATGTGTGGAGTAAGGAAACTTAAGGTTTTGCCCCACCATGCCTGGGAATCAAACCCACATCCACTCGCTTGCAAGGCAAGCGCGCTAACTACTATGCTACAAAACTCCATCCCCATTCCCCACCCCCATGGGCCATCTCAGCCCCCACTCCTTGGGGTTCAAAGAGGAAGTAGACAAGGATATGAGGTTAGCAGATTGTGTGACCTGTCGCGAAGTGGTTAGAGCTCGACTCTCTTCCCCCTCCTCGCTCCCTCCCTTCCCTCCTCTCACCCTGACCATTTCCCCCCTCCTCGCTCCCTCCCTTCCCTCCCCTCACCCTGACCATTTCCCCCCTGCTCGGGTCATGACCCAACTGTGCAGCGCCTTGGGACGTCCTCCTGACGTGAAAGGCGCTTTATAAATGGAATCTTGTTGTTGTTGTTGTTGTAGAGCTCTCGCCTCGCAAACAAGAGGACCTGAGTTCAATTCCCAGGCAAGCAGGACGAAACCACAGGCAAGTTTCCTTACCCACAAACAAGCCTCTGTTTGCCTAATAGGAAGTGACATTAAGCAGTTGTTAGTCGATTGGAGTATCACTAACTGGGGATAGTAATCCCTTAAAAAAACAGCACTTACACTACAGGACTCCACTTGCTCAAGAAGTGACATTCTATGTGGGACAGGTGGTAACTTTGTATTATATTGTAGAAGGTCGTAAAGCAGAGGGGAAAATCACTTACGTTGCGTTCATTGTCTTCACCAAGTCTTTAGGGCCTCATGAAGCCCTCATGGTGAAACTGGCGGCCATGGGAGTACTTAGCTGTATCCTGGATTTTATCCGGAATGTGTACTCCAGCTCCAACATCCATATAAGTGACACTGGACTTACTAAGCCCATCCCTTGGGAAAGGGGGTAAGGTCAAGGCTCATGGCTGCCCATTGTCACCCATCCTGTTTGATGTGTTCATCAATGACTTGTTGGATGATATCGAGGGTGAAGGACTTGGTGTATCTGTTCCAGATCTCTCTGACAGAATTGCAGCACTTCTGTTGCGAGTGATATTGTGCTGCTGGCAGCCTCCCTGGGGACCTTCCGTGCTGCCCCCGCCATCTAGAACACTGGGCCAACCGGTGGGACATGATGGTGGGTGTCCCCAGGTGTGGAACCCTGGTTCTGCACAGCCCAAGGGAAGACATTGATTAGAAGATACATGAGGTGTCAGTGCCAATAGTCGACTCTTATCGGTACCTCGAGCCGTGGTGGACACCAACAGTTGTCCTTGAAGGATAGAGTTATTATTATTATTATTATTATAGAGTCTGGATAATGCTCGGATGATGATTAAGGAATTGATTGTTGACTTGCTGCCGGTGCAGTTTGGTCTGTATCGTGCAGGTATGCCGTGAAGGTGGTAATAACAATAATAATAATAATTACCCCAATAATAATCCTTGCATTTACCATAACGCCTTATCACGCCTTCGAGACGTCTCAAAGCGCTTCACAGAATCCACCACTGTTTGTGGGGACGGTGCTGTGCGCAATTGGCTGCCATATTTCACCCACAAAATTGCACAGTCACTACACTTGACAGTGTATCCTGTGATCAAATGCAAGGATGATTATTATTATTGTTGTTATTGTATAAGAAGAGCTCTGTGTTCACCATTCACTGTAGCCACGTGCCACACACGCTGTGATGTGATTCACGTTGGTCACGTGAGCAGGGCGGGGCTCAGACAGCAGCGGCTTCATCAGTCAGTCGGGGATCACGTGGCGAGGGCGGGCGGCGCGCGCTCACCTGCTCACGTGACGGGGGGACGATCACGTGGCGAGGGCGGGCGCGTCGTGCGCGGCAACGGGGAGTGTGCACTGCGCCTGCGTCGTGTGGGGAGCGCGCACTGCGCAGGCGCGGCGGCTGAGGCGAGCATGAATGGAGGAAAATGGCGGATCATGTGCAGGTAACGGCCGCTTCCCCCCTCCCCCCCTCCCCCCCCCCCGGGGCTCACACCCCCATCTTCCCGCGCACAGCCAGAGGCCGTGTCAGCCCGGTTCCTGCCCCCCCCCATACCCTGCTCCCTCACCCACAGGAGAGCCCCCCAAATAATACACCCCCTACACACACACACACACCCCCCCCTATAATACACACACACACACCAGCCCCCCCAATAATACACCCCCTACACACACAGCCCCCCCAAATAATACACCCCCTAACCACACACACAGCCCCCCCAATAATACACCCCCTACACACACACACAGCCCCCCAATAATACACCCCTACACACACACACACACAGCCCCCCCAATAATACACCCCCTACACACACACACACACAGCCCCCCCCAAATAATACACCCCCTACACACACACACACAGCCCCCCCAAATAATACACCCCCTACACACACAGCCCCCCCCAAATAATACACCCCCTACACACACACACACAGCCCCCCCCAAATAATACACCCCCTACACACACACACACACAGCCCCCCCCAAATAATACACCCCCTACACACACACACAAAAAACACACCACCCAGCCCCCCAAATAATACACCCCCTACACACACACACACAGCCCCCCCCAAATAATACACCCCCTACACACACACACACAGCCCCCCCAAATAATACACCCCCTACACACACACACACAGCCCCCCCAAATAATACACCCCCTACACACACACACACAGCCCCCCCAAATAATACACCCCTACACACACACACAACCAGCCCCCCCAAATAATACACCCCTAACACCACACACACAGCCCCCCCAAATAATACACCCCCTACACACACACACACAGCCCCCCCCAAATAATACACCCCCTACACACACACACACAGCCCCCCAAATAATACACCCCCTACACACACACACACAGCCCCCCCAAATAATACACCCCCTACACACACCACAGCCCCCCCCCAAATAATACACCCCCTACACACACACAGCCCCCCAAATAATACACCCCCTACACACCACACAGCCCCCCCAAATAATACACCCCTACACACACACATAGCCCCCCCAAATAATACACCCCCTACACACACAGCCCCCCAAAATACACCCCCTACACACACACACACAGCCCCCCCAAATAATAACCCCCTACACACACACAGCCCCCCCCCAAATAATACACCCCCTACACACACACACAGCCCCCCCCAAATAATACACCCCCTACACACACACACACACACACAGCCCCCCCCAAATAATACACCCCTACACACACACACAGCCCCCCCCAAATAATACACCCCCTACACACACCACACAGCCCCCCCCCCAAATAATACACCCCCTACACACACACATAGCCCCCCCCAAATAATACACCCCCTACACACACAGCCCCCCCCAAATAATACACCCCCTACACACACACACAGCCCCCCCACCCCCTACACACCCCCCCCCAAATAATACACCCCCTACACACACACAGCCCCCCCAAATAATACACCCCCTACACAACACACACAGCCCCCCAAATAATACACCCCCTACACAAACACACAGCCCCCCCAAATAATACACCCCCTACACACACACACAGCCCCCCCAAATAATACACCCCCTACACACACACACAGCCCCCCCAAATAATACACCCCCTACACAAACACACAGCCCCCCCCAAATAATACACCCCCTACACACACACAGCCCCCCCCAAATAATACACCCCTACACACACACAGCCCCCCCAAATAATACACCCCCTACACACACACAGCCCCCCCAAATAATACACCCCCTACACACACACAGCCCCCCAAATAATACACCCCCTACACACACAGCCCCCCCAAATAATACACCCCTACACACACACACACAGCCCCCCCCAAATAATACACCCCTACACACACACAGCCCCCCAAATAATACACCCCTGACACACACACAGCCCCCCCAAATATTACACCCCAACACACACACAGCCCCCAACAACATCCCCCAACACACAGACACAGCATAGCACCACCAAATAATAATACACCCCAACAACACACACACAGCCCTCCCCCCACTCAACAACATGCACATACACAGCCACCTCCAAAATAATACACTCCCCACACCCACCCCCCCCACACACACCCCTTTCATGCAACAACATTCCCCGCACTCGACACACACAGTACCTGCCCCTCCCTCACAGCCTTGCCTCATGTAAACAGCTCCCACCCCCCCACACACCAACCCTCTCTCATTAATGCTAACTTTCGCACAGCACAGCCCTGATCTAAATACACACAGCTCCTGCCCCCCCCCCCCCCCCGCACCTATAATATTATTACTTGTGTTGATCGCTGTATCATGTTGTCGAGACGTCTCAAAGCACTTCACAGGATTTACTGTGAAGTGAATTGACTGTATAGTTTGTGGGCGAAACGCGGCAGTCAATTTGGCCACTTGAATCCACGACTGTGGGGACGCTGCTGTGCGCAGTTGGCCGCTGCGTTTAACCCTCAAAATATAGTCATATCAATGTAGAGTATATTCTGTGAAGTGCTTTGAGACGTCTCGAAGATATGACAAAGCCCTATATTAAATGCAAAGATTATTATGTAACTCTCAAAAGAGCTCCCCCACAAATCCCCCCCCCCCCCGCGCTCACACACACTCTCAAATACACGCCACGTGTACATCTCTCACTTTTGCCCTCCTATGCAGTCTCTTTCCCACCTTCCCCCAGCTGTCATTTGCAGCGCTCTGAGGCGCTATGCTGTATGAGGGGCACTGGGTAAGTTAATGATGTAATTCGTTGAGGTTTTAAATCATTAGTGACATTTTAATTGAACACAGTGTCTTTTCCAGAAAGCTTTATTCATTATTGCAATCTATTGTGATGGCTGTTAAAGAGGTTTTGATGGGGATTCGGTTTTATTGCGGTCTGAGTGACTGAAAGTTTATTGAAATTGTTTGATGGTGGACAGTCTGGCATGTGGTACAGGGGACAGATGTCCGTCCCAGTGGTGTAATATTTCAAGTCAACATATTCGGCATTGACAGAGTAGATTTCACAGAAGTTATCTCTGAGCTGTGTTGTGTTTGTGGTGAACGCCACAGAGTCAGTGAGCAGCGAGGAGTGCAGTCCCTGTAGCTCAGTGGTTAGAGAGAGCGAGCGACCCGGGTTCGATTCCTGGCAGGGTGAAACGTGGGGCAAGTTTCCTCACTCCACACGTCTCTGTTTGCCCAGCAGTAAGTTGGAACCCGGTTGTTAGTCTATTGACGGATCACTTTTCTGGGGTTAATAATTCCTTCAAACAAAAATAGTAATAATTGGTCACTTCAATCCACGACTGTTTGTGGGACAGTGCTGTGCGCAATTATCATAATTTTATTTGTTGTTGAAGGGATTATTATCCCCACCCCCCCACCCCGAAAATGGTTGCAAGGACATCTCAATACAGGATTCACTGTGAAGTGTAGTGACTGTGTGATTTGTAGGAGAAAGCTCAGCAATATTCCCCAGCTGACTAATATCTTTGCCTTTGGCACTCATTCTGCCACCAGGTTCCCCTGACATTGGCAGGACATGTTCCAGAGTCAGTGTAACTAACCCCAGGCCGAGCTGTGCTCACACTGACCGGGACAGGCAGCTCAGCATAAACGTTTCTGCAACATCTCTCGGCTCCGCCACTGCCTCTCCCCTCAGGTCGTTGAAACCCTCATCCACACACTTATTACATCTCGGCCAAATCCCTGCCAAATCCCTGCTTGTCGGCCTTTCCAACTCTTCCTCTCCACAAGTTGCAGATCATTCAGAACTCTGACAGTATATGTTGTGGGCGAAACATGGCACCCAATTGCACACAGCAGCGTCCCACAAACAGTCGTGGATTGAGTGACCAAATTATTAAAAAAAATTTCAAATTTATTTATTGTCTTGAAGGGATTATTACTCCCGGAAAAGCGATCCCATCAGCCAAACAACCGGGTTCCTACTTACTGCTAGGCAAACAGAGGCGTGTGTGTGGAGTAAGGAAACCTGCCCAACATTTCACCCTGCCCGGGCGGGAATCAATCTCAGGTCTTCTCGCTTACGAGTCGAGTGCTGTAACCAGGACTACACAATAAATTCTACTGATATAAGGTGAAATGATTGCGATGTTAGAATGCAGGACAGACAAATATCATGTGGCTTTGGCCACCTGCAGTAAGCAGCACGTTGGTCATCATGTTCTGATCGGAAACCAACCAGAAAAAGTTGCTGAGGAGATATTTTGAGAGAAACTGGTACAACATGCACATGTGCTGATGAAACTGTTCCAGTGTATAAGGACCAGCTGAGTCTCAACTCCTTTTGTTCTGCGGTGAATTCAGGGCTCAACGCCTGGCTGAAAAGAAAGGGTGTTGGTCCAACCAATGGCATGTCTTGTGTCATTACGTTCTGAACCGGTTGGATAAACCATTTGCTTGTATAGAGCGGCGGAGAGGAATTAATTTCCTAGAAACATCCAGAACTCCAAGCCCATGTCCTGTACCGCTCCTGAGTTTGTGAACCCAACATCCCCAATCCTTGCTGGGCTGCTCGGCTCCAAATCAATCTCGGCAAGCCTTTGCTTTACTTGCATCAGTGGTTAGAGCCCTCGCCTCGCAAGCGAGAGACCTCGCTTCGATTCCCGGGCAGGGCAAAACATTGGGTGAGTTTCCTTACTCTACACGCCTCTGTTTACCTAGCAGTATGTAGGAACCCGAGTGTTAGTTGATTGGCAGATGGGATCGCTTTTCCGGGTAATCATCCCCTGAAGAAAAAAAACAAATTGGTCACTCAATCCGCGACTGTTTTTGGGGACACTGCTGTGCAATTGGCTGACGCTTTTCACCCCCGAAATATACAGTCAATTCGCTTTACAGTGCTTTGAGACGTCTTGAAGACGCGATAAGTCGCTGTATCAAAAGAATGGATTATTATTATATGATTTCAAAGTGTTGGCATGGGGGCTTGAACATGGGAAAGTTTCCGATTGGGAGGTGAGAGTGCTACCACTGAGCCAGCCTGACAGAAGGGAAACTCTTATCTGCAGTGCCCAGCAGTCCGCAGCCTGCAGCTATCTCTTTTCAGGATGCTTTCAGTGAGAGAGCTGAACAGTAATGTGTCATGGGTGATTCCAGTGTCACACGCTAACTCCCCACACACTGCATTACGCTATATTACAGGCTGGCTGGCAGAGAGATCGCACTGCAGTTCAACAATAATAATAATAATAATACTTGCATTTGATATAGCGCTTTTCACGTCGGGAGGACGTCCCAAAGCGCTTCACAGAACACACTGTAAAGTGAATTGACCGTATATTTGTGGGCGAACGCGGCAGCCAATTGCACACAGCAATGTCCCACAAACAGTCGTAGATTGAAAATGACCAATTTATTATTGTTTTTGGTTTTGGAGGGATTATTATTAGGCTCTGTGTGGAGTAAGGAAACTTGCCCAAGGTTTCGCCCTCTGCCTGGAATTGAACTCAGGTCTCTCACTTGCAAAGCGAGTGCTCTAACCACTGAGCTACAGGACTCCACAATGCCAGGATTATTATTATTTTATTATAACTGCAGGCCATGTAGCACAGCATCTACCAATGTCCTAGCACCTCCTTACCTCTCAGATCTGCTTTCCCCCCCCACTCTCCCACCCGCTGCCTCAGCTCGGTTAACTCCGGCCACCTATTTGCCCCTCGTCCCCTCCACTCCACCTCCGGTGGCTGTCACCCACTATGCCCCGAAACTCTGGAACTCTCTCCCTCAATCCCTCCGCCTTGCCCCCTCCTTCCCTCCCCACTTTCAAAATCGTACCTAAACACCTTCCTTTTTTATTATGCTTACGGTTACCTCCCCCCATGTGAAAGGGCACTATATAAATGCAAGTGGTTGTTGTATTCCTGTCCAGCCATTAAAACTGGCTTTATCTGTGGAATGGTTAACAAAGAAAGAATTTGCGTACTTGTGAGACACGTCACCTAAGTGTTCTTCACAACAATCAGCAGTGAGTGCAGTGACTATTCTTCACAGGCAAACGCAATGGCCATTTGGCAGCCAGCCATTTATCTGGAAGATTATTGGCCCAGGAACACTGAGAGAAACTCCCTTTCCATTTCAAATTGATTTTCAGCATCTTCTGAAGAAACAGGCACAGACTCGGCTTAACATCTCATCCGAAAGACGGTACCTATGACAATCGGATGCTCTTTCCCCTTCCCCCACCCACACTCCCCTCTGCTGGAGTGTCAACAACAACAACTTGCGTTTATATTGCGGCTTCACACACAGAGGGTTTGAACCCACAGCCTCTGATCACGACCTGAGAGGCAGCCAATTGCGCACAGCGGTGTCCCTCAAACAGTCGTGGATCGAGTGACCAAATTATTATTTTTTTCGAGGGGACCAATTTTCTTTCTATTTCTTGAAGGGATTACCCCCGGGAAAAGTAATCCGCCAATCGATTAACAGCCGGGTTCCTACTTACTGCTGGGTAAACAGAGGCGTATGTGTGTGTGTGTGTTTGTAGTAAGGAAACGTGCCTAAAGTTTTGCCCTTCCCGGGTTCTCTCGATTGCGAGGCAAGAGCTCTAACCACTGCACTACGAGAGTCCAAAGTTTTACAGCGTTGCAAATTCGGCTGCGACTTACGTGAGTTAAATTAAGAGAGCGTGTTGTTACAGAGCCTGGCGCAACTAGAGATCCTGTGTAAGCAGCTCTATGAAACGACGGAGACATCCACAAGGCTAGAGGCAGAAAAGGCCCTGGTGGAGTTTACCAACAGCGCCGACTGTCTGAACAAATGCCAGCTGCTTTTAGAGAGAGGAAGCGTAAGTATAATCCACTGCGATGATTTATTTACCTGCCATTCTCGGAGGGTTGGGAGTGATCAAATGAACTTTGTTTTACATCTTAGAGAGGGTACAGAGGAGATTTGTCAGAATGGTACTCAACGTTATGTGGAGAGACTAGAGAGGCTGGGATTGTGCTCCTTAGAGCAGAGGAGGTTGAGGGGAGATTTAATAGAGGTTTTTAAAATTACGAGGGGAGTTTGATAGAGCAGATAGGGAGAATCTGTTTCCACTGGCGGGTGGGTGGGTCGATAACCAAAGGACATAGATTTAAGATAATTGGCAAAAGAACCAGAGGGGAGATGAGAAATGTTTTACACAGAGGGTTGTTACGGTCTGAAATGCACTGCCTGAACAGGGGGTGGAAACAGATTCAATAATAACTTTCAAAAGGGAATTAGACAGGTACTTGAAAAAGAAAAATTTGCAAGGATATGGGGAAGGAGCGGGGGAGGGAGTGGGACTGATTTGGTAGCTCTTCCAAAGAGTCAGTAGAGGCATGATGGACCAAATGGCCTCCTTCTGTGCTGTATGATTCTATCTTGTTTGGCCCACAAAATACACAGTCAATTCGTTTTACAGTATACCCTATGAAGTGCTTTGAGACATCTCAAAAGATGTAATAAGGCTACCATATCAAATGCAAGGATTATTATTATAATAATAATTATTTATTATTTAACACATTTTTTTTCTTACAGTCATCGTATTCACAGTTGCTGGCAGCAACCTGCCTTACGAAACTGGTGTCTCGCACAACCAACCCTCTGCCTTTAGAACAGCGCATCGATATACGTAAGTGGGATGCTGCTAATAAATATATTATTATTATCTATAACTATAAATAGATTTCATCAAGTTGTTTTCTGCACTACACCTGTATTCACAACACAGTGGGGCAGAGAGGCTGAAGGCCCGACCGGCAATATGGAACAGGCAAGCTGGGGGGAGGGAGTTGGGGGAGGTGACAGTAGACGCAGTCGAAGAGGAAGGTCTTGAGATGGATTTGAAGGAGTTGGTGGCGGGTGTGGGGTGCAGGAGGAGGAGCTCCGGGATGGAGTTGCGGAGGGCAGAGAGTGAGAATTCAGGCACGATCTGAAGATGGGGAAGCGGAGGTGCGAGGCGGAGGGAGGGTGAGAGTTCCAGATTTCCGGGGCGTTGTAGCTGAAAGCCCGGCTGCCGATGGTGGTGGAACGGAAGGTATCTTTTTAATAAAAAAAATACTTTTGTGTTTTATTTTTTCGTGGCAGGAAACTATGTTCTGAATTATCTGGCAACGAGGCCAAAGTTGGCGAGCTTCGTCACACAGGCCTTGATCCAACTGTTTGCCAGGATCACCAAACTGGGCTGGTTTGACTGTCAGAAGGAGGAGTACGTGTTTCGAAACGTCATAACCGACGTCACAAGATTCTTACAGGTTGGATGGATCAGTGTTTCTCCCTCCCTCCCTCCCTCCCTCTTTGCTGTGGAAACTTGTTAAAGAGCTTCATCCACTTTGCATCCACTTCATCTGTGTCTCCAGCGCCTACAAACTGCAATGAGATGAATGACCACAGTGATGATGGAGGCACTGGAGTATCATCTGACAATACAGAGCTTCTGATGCTTTGTACTAACCTCAGGAACTGTCCACACAGGCCTTTCTGGGATGGCCGTATCAACCTGTCCGCTCCCTCTGCTCAGCAGGCTCCTGCCTGCTCCACATCCTCCGTCCGGCCCACCCCACTATCGGTGGTCGGGCCTTCAGCCTCTCTGCCTCCCACCCTTTGGAACTCCTTCCCACATTCCCTCCGATTCGACCCCTCCTTTGCCTCTTTCAAGGCCAGTCTCAAGACCCTCCGCTTCGACCACGCCTGCAGTCACCCTCCTCCCCCCACCCTCCCCACCCTCCACCCCTCCTGATCCCAACCCCCAGCTCGGGTCCAAATCCCTGACTGTCCAGAGCCTTGGGACGTCCTCCCAATGTGAAAGGCGCCGTGTAAACATGTGTTGTTGTTACCTGCCCAGCCCAGTGAATGCACAGACAGACAAGCTCATTTATTATTATAATGAGAATACGTGTTTCGCCCACAAAAATACACGGTCAATTCACTTTACAGTGTATTCTGTGAAGTGCTTTGAGACGTCTCAACAACGTGATAAGGCTCTGTATCAAATGAGAAAACTATTATTATTAGCTTCTGCCTGTGGGATTCAGACGGACTTCCGCGTCTTGTGTCAGAGACGAGGTGTCACAGAGGTGGGCTCGGGTCCAACATTCCACTGTCAAGCATGTCTCTGTTGAGCCAGCTGAGATTTAAGGGGACCCCATTTAACATTACACCCACTCCCTCTTCAAAAAAGGAGGATGGTCAATAGTTAGTCATTTAACATCCAACGAGTGTAGGTTTGAAGCACTCACTAGGTGGATGGCAGGTACCAGGAACTCCTTAGCAGCTTCCTTGGGGTACAGCCCAGCTTGATGTGAAGTGTGCGAGAGCAGTCCTTAATAATTAAGGTGGTGGAGAGCCATGGAAAATCCAGACAGTTTTCTGTTCAACCCACTGTGGAAAAAACAGCTTCAGATTCAAGGCTTTTTCACCCGTTTCTGACCCACCTTAAATCTTAAGGTGAAAAATTGTCCAACAGGCAGAAGAAAGACTGAGTTGGACCTCGGGCTTGTTGAGTTCTGATGTAGGGCTTGAACCCACAACCTGTTAGCTCGGAGTTTACAGCGCGTTACAACTGAGCCAAGCTGAGGCCCTGTACTGACTTCCTTAATCGACATCTCAAGACCAACTCCAGTTTCATTCTATTTGCTGTGTGCAATAATTGGTTGCCCACGTTACATCCCTACAAAATAAACAGTCACTACACTTTACAGTGTATCCTGTGAAGCTCAGTGATAAGGTACTGTATCAAACACAAGGATTATTATTATTTGGCATTACGATTATTGGCTCAAAAATCTTCCCGATTACAGATTAATCACCGTTCAATTATGCCCTCGTGTTTTGTTCTGGATTTGGGCATTGAAAGAACTGTTCCACGTCAGAGGTGATTGGTTCAAGCGTCGGGTTGGATATTTTAAACTCATCGTCAAAGCTGACACTGACTTCAATGCATGTGGTGGCACCGTCCTAAAGATGAGACGTTAACAGCGGTCTTGTCTGCCTGTTCAGGTGGATGTTAAAGATCCCGCGGTGCTATTGGAAAAGAAAAGGCAGTTTCTCACTGTGTCCTTCCTGGCCAACAATCCTCCAGATAATTCGGTCACTCACTTCATGGCTGTTTGTGGGACGTTGCTGTGTGCAAGTTGGCTGCAACGTTCGCCTACAAAATACACAGTCACTACACTTGACAGCAATTCCCTGTGATGTTTGAATGTTACCAGCGCTGTGTCAAATAAATGCAAGTATTATTTAGATCAACCCACACATCTCTTTAATGGTTCCTTTGTTGTTGAGACAGCGATGAAAGTTTTGTCTGTCATTGCAGGATACCGTCGAGCACTGCGTTATAGGAGTAATGATCCTTTCTCAGTTAACGAATGAAATAAACCAAGTAAGTCCTGCAGCAAACTCAAGCGAAGTAAGTGTCCCTTTTCTCCTCATTGGTTTCCATTCCCACGTCTTGAAGTGGGCAGTTTCTTGCAGCAGGTTGTGGGTGGAGGGTAAGAGGATGGACTGGTTGGGAGGTGCCAGGGTAGGAAGGGACTTGAAAACGGGTGTGAGGATTTTGAAATCGACCTATTTGGTGATAGGGTGGAGCCGGTGGAGCTTGGTGTGATGGGAGGAAACGGAGTTTAGTGCGGGTCGATAGATTGATAGGCGCCTTCCGAAAGGCGCTATGGTTCTCTGTGAGGTGGGGCTGAGAACAAGCTGATCGCTCTGGCTCTGTTGCTCCACAGGCTGACACTACACATCCACTAACTAAACATAGGAAGATCGCTTCGTCCTTCAGGGATGCTTCTCTCTTTGATATCTTCACGCTCTCGTGCAATTTACTGAAGCAGGTGGGTATTTTGATGTGTTGTTTGCGCACAAGCTGCTGTTTGGTAATGATGATAATAGTACTCACATTCGACACAGCGCCTCATCACGTCGTTGAGACGTCTCAAAGCGCTTCACAAGATACACTGTCAAATGGAATAATTTTGTCATTTGTGGGTGAGACACGGAAGCCAATTGCACACAGCAGCGTCCCACAAATAGTCCTGGATTGGATGACCAAATTTATTTTTGGAGGGATTATTACCCTTGGAAAAGCGATCCGCAATCGACTAACAACCGGGTTACTTACTGGGGAAACAGAGGGTAGCAATTAGCTACTGAGTTTTGCCCACAAAATATAAGGTGAATCCACTTTACAGTATATCCTGTGAAGCGCTTAGAGACGTTTTGAAGACGCGTCATGATCGGCACTGCCTACCACCACCTCCACAACATTGCCAGACTCCGCCACTGCCTCACCCCTCAGGCCCCCAAACCCTCACCCACGCAATCGTCAACTCAAGGCTCGATTACAGGAACTCTCTCCTCATCGGCCTTCCCACCTCTTCCCTTCACAACCTGCAGATCACCCAAAATTTCTCACGCCCACCCTCGCCCGACCCCATCACTCCCACCCTCGCCCGACCCCATCACTCCCACCCTCCCCGACCCCATCACCCCCACCTTCGCCCGACTCCACTGGCTCCCCATCTCCCAAAGGATCGAGTTCAAGATCCTCGTCCTCACCTTAAAGGCCATCCATGGCCTCGCCCCCTCCTACCTCTCTGACCTGCTGACTCCCTACCAACCTGCCCGCTCCCTCCGTTCAGCGGGGTCTGATCTGCTCCATGTCTCCCGCCCATCGGTGGCCGGGCTTTCAGCCTCCCTGTCCCCACACTCTGGAACTCCATCCCATGGTCCCTTTGCCTCGCTTCCTCCCTTGCCTCCTTCAAGGCCGGTCTCAAGACCCTTCTCTTCTACCGCGTCTTTGGTTTCCCTTCCACCTCTCTGCCTTCCTTTACCTCTACAACCCCTCCCCCCCCCCTTGCTCGGGCCCCGACACCTGACTATTCAGCGCTTTGGGACGTCCTCCCGACGGGAAAGGCGCTCTATAAATGTCATTTTGTTGTTGTTGTTGTGATAAGGCATTATATCAAATGCAAGGATTACTATTACTGTTCGCATGAAAAACTCTGTGATGGCTTCCAGTTTCTACATCTCCTCAGTCTGGCTCTGCCTCACTGGGCTGCAGACATTGGTTAGTTCCTCACTAGCTTAAGGCTCGCTCACCACTACCATTTACAGGTAAACACTGTTATAATGATGCTGGAGCCGGAATGCTTTTAAAGGTTCCTCACGTCTTGAGTGCTTCTCACAATAAGTGCAGTGGTCAACGTGTCAGCCTGTGACTCAGGCTCTTGCACTCTCGCCTCTGAATCAGAAAGTTCTGGGTTTGAGTGTGTGTGGGTTTGTGCGTGGGTGTATGTACACCTGTTTTGTGTGTGCTTTTTTGTGCGTGTATACGTGTGGGTATTTGTTTGAGTGTACGTGTTTGTGTGTGTGTGTGTGCTGGCTATGCTCACTCAGGAACCTGTGCCCATTTCCAGGCTTCCGGGAAGACCCTAAACTTGAACGATGAGAGCCAGCACGGACTCCTCATGCAGCTGCTCAAACTGGCTCACAACTGTCTGAACTTCGACTTCATCGGTACCTCCACCGACGAGTCGTCTGATGATCTCTGCACCGTCCAGATTCCAACCAGCTGGAGGTCAGGTATGGTCCCTGCTCCGAGCTGTTTGTCATATTTCGGCTCAAAAATACACAATTAATTCGCTTTACAGTAATATCCTGTGAAGCGCTTTGAGACGTCTCAAAGACGTTATAAGCGCTGTATCAAGTGCAAGGATAATTATGGGTATCAGAGTGTCAGTGTCAAATCCTCACACTCTTCACGCCCTGGCACCTCCCGACCTCTCCAACCTTCTTAATCCCCTAACCCACTTACCCGCTGTCTCCGCTCAGTTGGCTCTGGCCTCCTGCTTGTCCCTCGTATCCTCCCTTCCACCATCGGTGGCCGAGCTTTCAGCCACTATGTCCCGAAACACTGGCACTCTCTCCCCCTATCCCTCCACCCTGGCCCCTTCCTTCCCGTCATCAGGTCGCGTCTGAGGACCTTCCTCTTCTACCGTGCCTATGGTCACCTCCCCCCTCCCCCTAGGCTCGGCGTCGTGCTCCGCCACTGCCAAACGCTCTGGGACGCTGCCCTTTATGACGGGGCGCTGTGGAAATCCAAGTTGTCGTTGCTGTTGTTTTACCCGTTTACTGACTGTGACTAATAAAGAGGGAAAGGTTCCTCAATTCCTGCCTCAGTTGGTCACTCTCCCTGCATCATAAGGTTCATGAACAGACGTTCCGCTTGCAAATCAGATTCCCCCCACCCACCCGCATTCACCCTTTTCATCTGCTTATTATATCCTGGCAGATCTTTACATTGGAGTTCACCAAACCCCAGAGTCAGACTATATAGAGGTGTCACTGTTAATATCAGACTATATAGAGATATCAGTGTTAATATCAGACTATATAGAGGTGTCACTACATTCGTAGATTTAAAGAAATTCTGACTTGGAAGAGTTTACAGCAGATCTGATTACGCGAGAGGACCCAGGTTCTATTCCTGGGCAGAGCGAAACCTTAGGCAAGTTTCCTTACTGTTTACCCATCAGTAAGTAGGAACCCAGTTGTCAGTCGATAGGCAGATCGCTTTCTGGGGATAATAATCCCCCCAAAATCAAAATCAAAATTGGTCACTCAATCCATAATTCATTGTGAACACTGCTATGCGTAATTGGCTGCCGCATTTCGCCCACAAAATACACAGTCACTACACAGTATATCCTGTGAAGCGCTTTGAGACGTCTAGAAAATGTGATAAGGCACTGTATCAAACGCAAGGATTATTATTACAGTGTGGCTTATCCAGATGTGGCTTGAAGGAACTAATGAATATAGGACGACCCCGTTATGAACCCGGTCGCCCAGGCCCCCAATATAAGCGGAACGCGAAAACACAGCCGACTTCTTGGTCATCAAGTCATCACTTCCTTCGGGAAGTGACATCAGCGACTCTTTCTGCACACTTCTGGTGCGGTGCGCAGGAAGTGATCTCAGCAGCAACTCGCAGCCACCTTAGCCGACTGGTCCCTGTGGCTTTGACCCTCGGGAGGGAGGGAGGGAGGGCATGTTATGGGAGGGTTTGCCTTGCACTTATCGCAAGTCTATACACCGTGTCCTCCACACAGGGTCAGGGAGAGGCGTCTCAGTAAAACCACTGTTTATTTTCACAGCTTTCCTCGATTCATCAACCCTGCAGCTGTTCTTTGACTTGTATCATTCCATTCCTCCGTCACTCTCTCCTCTGGTAAGTCGCTCTTTGTCCACGTTTAAGGATAGCCACCAGCAGACTCCTCTCTCTGACTGGACTCGTTTTGCCTCCACCCCACCCCAACTCCTCTGTCCTTCAGCCTTTCTTTCCCCAATTCACTGGCACTCCATCCCGGAGCTCCTCTGCCTCAAGGAATCACTCCTCAATCCAGTCCCCAGCTCAGTTGCAAATCCCTGACTGTCCAGCCAACGCCTTGAGACGTCCCCCCGACATTAAGGCGCTGTGTGAATGCAATTTGTCATCGTCCAAGAGGGAGTTAGAGAGGGAGTCTGCAAGATATCAGAGCAGGGAAATAACTTTTTGTTGACAGCTGCATGAGGGCGAAGACTGCAACAGGGATGTAAGGAGCGGGTGGTGACTTGTGACATAAGCACTGGTTGAGCCAAATGGGCAATTTACAAGTGTACAGTCTGAAAATCATTTGTGAATAATGGTGCACAATAACAGGGATTCACGGCGAAGCGAATCTGCAACTTCTTAACGTCAGTCCCTGGGACATGAATGAGCAGATGTGTTCCCCTTCAATCCCTCCTCCTCGCCCCCTTCCTTCCCCATCTTGAGGCCATGCCTGAAGACCTTCCTCTTCAACCGTGCCGTACGGTCACTTCCCCTCCCCTCGCCCCAACTCGGTGTCGTGCTCCGCTACTGCCACGCGCTCTGGGGCGCTACCCTGCGTGAGGGGGCGCTGTGTAAATGCAAGTTGTTGTTGTTGACTGGTGCTCCCTGTCCCTGGCAGGTGTTGTCCTGTTTAGTGCAGATCGCCTCAGTACGGCGATCGTTGTTTAACAATGCCGAGCGAGCCAAGTTCCTATCGCACCTCGTGGATGGAGTCAAACGGATACTTGAAAACCCACAGGTGATTTGGGAGGCAATTTGGGGCTCTCTCTCTCTCTCTCTCTCTCTCTCTCTCCGCCACTTTCCTTTCACGCCTTCCTCGTGTTCCTTTGTCCTAGAGTCCTTGTCATCCCTCGCAGTTCCCGCCAATCAACCTGTTCTGACGGTTGCCCTGTCGACGGTTAAGGTCACACACAATTCCTGCTTGCTGTACGCAGGAAGTGGCGCTGATGTCATCTTGCAACGATTTGCTGGCGGCCATTTTTTTAGCATGCCTCGACATAATGTGGCGTCTGCGTTTACACCCTCACAAGCACCATGCTGTAACGGGGTGCCTCTGTACCACGCATTTATTACATCCAGGCTGACTACGCCAATGCCCTGCTTGTCAGCCTCCACAACTCTTCCCTTCACAACCTGTAGATCATCCAGAACTCTGCAGCTCGTGTTCTCTCCCGCACCAGGCTCCGTGACCCCCAGCCTTTCCCAACTCTGCATCCCCCAGAGGATAGAGTTCAAAATCCTCGTCCTCGACTTCACGGCCCTCCACGGCCTTGCTCCTCCCAACCTGCAACCTCAAACCGTACCAACCTCTCCGCCCAACCTGCCCCTCCTTCAAGTCATGGCTCAAGACCCTCCTCTTCGACCATGCCTTTGGTCACCCTCCTAACCCCACCCTTCTGATCCCAACCCCCAGCTCAGGTTCAAATCCTTGGCTGTCCAGCATCTTGGGATGTCGTCTCGATGTGAAAGGCACTGCGTAATGTAATGTGTTGTCGTCCTGAATCTGAGGGTGTAACAGAGAACGTCTCCTCTCTGCAGAGCTTGTCCGACCCCAACAACTATCACGAGTTCTGCCGGTTGCTGGCACGGCTGAAAAGCAACTACCAGCTGGGGGAGCTGGTGAAGGTGGAGAATTACCCGGAGGTTATCCGCCTGATTGCCAACTTCACAGTGACCAGCCTTCAGGTACCGGCCAGCCCAGTGATTGCCCATGGTAATGGGATGACGCTTCTCACCCCCTGCAAATTGGGAGGATATTTCAGCTACTATACCATAAAACTCTCACTCTCTCCCTCAATCCTTGCCCCCTCCTTCCCCATCTTCAAGTCCCAGTGGGCTTCACAGTGACAGAGCACAATGCCAAGCCGGTGTGGGGGGCGGAAGGTGATCCCGTAGACACTGTCGAATATCAAGGTCTTCAGCCACAACCTGAAGATAGGGAAGGAAGGGGCGAGGCAGAGGGATAGAGGGAGAGTGTTCCCGAGTTTCGGGGCTTAGTGGCTGAAGGCACAGCCACTGATGGTGGAGCAGAGGGCATGTAGGGCAAATAGGAGGCCAAGAGCCAGCTGAGCGGAGGCAGCAGGTAGTGGAGTGGAGTGGGGAGGCGGGGGGTGTGGTTAAGCAGGTGGGAGAGGAAGGGAGTTGCGAAGGAATGAAGTGATTGGAAAGCAAGTGAGAGGATCTTGAAATTGATCTGCTCGGTGTTTGGGAGCCAGTGGAGCCTGGCGAGGACTGATGTGATGGGGGGTACAGAGTTTAGGGTGTGTGAGTATTACTGCATTGACGCACGACCGTCTTTCCCCCCCCCCCCACCCACCCCGGTCTCCAGCAGCATTGGGAATTTGCCCCCAACAGCGTCCATTACCTGCTGAGCCTCTGGCAGCGTTTGGCAGCCTCCGTCCCCTACGTCAAAGCCACGGAGCCCCACATGCTGGAGACCTACACACCTGAAGTCACCAAAGCGTACATCACCTCCAGGTTGGAGTCGCTTCACATCATTCTGAGGTGAGACACAGCGCTGTGCTCTTCCCATTGAGTTAGATCTACCTTCAGCTTGATTGTGGAGTTCTGTGGTTAGAGCCCTCGCCTCGCAAGCGAGAGGACCTGGCTTTGATTCCCGGGCGGATCAGGGATACATTGGGCAAGTTTCCTCAATCCAGGGACACGCACACACACACGCCCCTGATTATCAGCAGTAAGGAGGAACCTGGTTGATTGTCGATTGGCGGATCGCTTTCCCAGGGGGAATAATTCCTCCAAAAAAAAAAAAATTGGTCACTCAAACCATGACTGTTTGTGGGGCGCTGCTGTGCGCAATTGGCTGCCGCGTTTTGCCCACAAAATATACAGGCACTACACTTTACAGTGTATTCTTGAAGCGCTTTGAGAAGTCTCGAACACGTGATAAGGCGCTGTATCAAATCCAAGGATTATTATTATTATAACTCCGTGTGTAAAAAAGGATCTTGAATCTATGTGATGTGATGAATGATCAGTGTGTTACTGGGGGTAGTGTCCTTGGTGAGGTGGTCACAGCGAGTTCCCCTGTTGACCAGGGCTGTGTGTGCTCCCCAGGGACGGGCTGGAGGATCCTCTGGACGACACGGGGCTTGTCCAGCAGCAGCTTGACCAGCTGTCCACCATAGGCCGGTGCGAATACGAGAAGACGTGCGCTCTGTTGGTGCAGCTCTTCGACCAGTCGGCGCAAAGCTACCAGGAGTTACTGCAGAGCGCGAACGCCAGCGCCATGGATATCGCTGTCCAGGAAGGTAAGGGACCCACGGAGAGTTGTAGTGCAGTCTTAGCCCAGCTGGGAATCGAACCCGGGTCCTCTCGCTTGCGAGGTGAGCGTCTAACCACTGCAGGATTCCCCTCCTGACTCCAAGCTGGGCCTTGTAACACAGCAACGACAACACTGACCAGCCGGGCTGCACATACCCCTGAGTCACTCCCCTCCCCACCTCGTGTGGAGGGCGCTGGGTAAATGGGAGCTGCTGCTGTTGACAAAGGAAAGCTCAGGAGTTAGAGCCCTCGCCTCACAAGCGAGAGAGGACCCGGGTTTGATTTCCGGGCGGGTCGGGTCAGGGCGAAACGTTGGGCAAGTTTCCTTACTCCCCCCCACACACACACACACACGCGCCTCTGTTTACCAGCAGTCAGTAGGAACCGGTTATTAGTTGATTGGTGGATCGCTTTTCCGGGGGCAGTAATCCCTTTGTCATTAAAAAAAAGTGGTCACATGATCCACGACTGTTTGTGGGGACACTATTGTGCACAATTAGCTGCTGCATTTCGCCCACAAAATATACAATCCACTTTACAGCATGAAGCGCTTTGAGACGTCTCAAAGACGTGATAAGGCACCATATCAAAGGTGAGGATTATAATGCTGTGTGTGTTGCAGGCCGCCTGACGTGGTTGGTTTACATCATCGGGGCTGTGATCGGGGGTCGGGTCTCGTTCGCGAGCACAGACGAGCAAGACGCAATGGATGGGGAGCTGGTGTGTCGGTGAGTCTAACCCTAACCCTCTCTCTGTCTCTCTCTCTCTCTCTTTCTGCCTCTCTCTCTCTCTCTCTCTCGTCTCCCTCTCTCTGTCTCTCTCTCTTTCTCTCTCTCTCACTGTCTCTTGTGCGCCCCGCTAGTGTGTTGCAGCTGATGAACCTGACGGACTCGCGCTTGGCTCAGGCGGGGAATGAGAAGCTGGAGCTCGCCATGCTCAGCTTCTTCGAGCAGTTCCGGAAGATTTACATCGGGGACCAGGTGCAGAAATCCTCCAAGGTAAACGGTCCGAAAGGTAGTCCCACCTTTCCGTGATTTTACCTACTTTGTTTGCTTTTGCAGTAGTGCCTTGGGTTGGTATGTTTTATTAAAATAATAAAGGGATTTGATAGTAGTATAGATAACCAGAGGAGAGGACGTCCAGCGCTTCACCACACTGTAAAGTGATGACTGTATATTGTGGGCGAACGCGGCAGCAATGCCACAGCAATGTACAACAGTCGTAGATGAAAATGACCAATTATTATGGGTGGAGGGATTATTATCTTGTAGTAAGAATGCCAGGCTGAGCCAGGCCTTTGCAGCGAGTGCTCTAACACTGAGCTAGGACTACAAGTACTCCATTTAGGGTGTCAGGGGCAGTTTTTCACACAAAGGGTTTAGTGGGAATCTGTTACTCTCTCTCCCCCAAAAGGCTGTGGATTATGTCTGGATCCATTCACATTGTCCAGACTGAGGTGGATGGATGTTTGTGAGGTCGGGGGATCAATGGATATGGGGCAAAGGCGGGGAATTGGAGCTGAGGTACAGATCAGCCGTGATCTTGTAGAATGGCGGAACAGGCTCGAGGGGCTGAATGGCCTCCTCCTGTGTCAATGGTGGCCCCACCCTCTGACTTGTGGCCCTGCCCCGCCCTCTGACTGGTGGCCGCACCCTGTGCTGGCCCCGCCCTCTCACTGATGACCCTGTGTTTTGGCCTCCCCGCAGTTGTACCGGAGACTGTCGGAGGTTCTGGGGCTAAATGACGAGACCATGGTGCTGAGTGTCTTCATCGGCAAAATGTGAGTATCTGCCCGCCACAACCCCACCCCACCATAGCCCATTGCCCCCACCCCCACCATAGCCAGTGCCGCCTTCCCCTGGCCCACCATAGCCCATTGCCCACACCACTGCCCCCTTCATAGCCCATTGCCCCCAGCCCCCACCATAGCCCATTGCTCCCATTCCCAACCCCCACATACCCATTCCCCCCAACCCCAACTTATCCACTCTCCTTTTCAGCTATTCTCTGGACCTATTAATTGTCTCAATTCCCTGTTAAGCGCTGTGCTCGATCCAGCTCCTGTCTGACCTTGTTTCGCCCAGAGACGTGTGTGAGGTTGCCTTTTGCTGAGCTTGTGATTCACTGAATGTCCTTTATCTGCCGTTGACTAGAATCACCAACCTGAAATACTGGGGACGATGTGAGCCCATCACCTCCAAAACCCTGCAACTCCTAAATGACCTCTCCATCGGATATCCTTTATACACAGCCACTGGGTGGGGAGGGAGGAAGGGTGACGGAGCGAGAGAGACGTGGAGGGAGAGAGAGATGAGGAGAGAGAGAGAGTTGAGAGAGAGCGAGAGATGAGGAGGGGGAGAGGGAGCTGAGGAAGGAGAGTTGAGGGAGAGAGAGATGAGGAGGAAGGGAGAGATGAAGGGGAGAGGGAGATGAGGAGGGAGAGAGAGATGAGGAGGGAGGGAGAGATGAGGAGGGGGAGAGGGAGATGAGGGAGAGAAAGATGAGGGAGAGAGAGATGAGGAGAGAGAGGGATGAGGAGGGAGAGAGATGAGGGAGGGAGAGATGAGGAGGGAGATGTGGTTGGAGAGAGAACAGGGAGGGAAATGGGAGTGCAGGGACGGTGAGACGGGGTGGAGGGAGGGAGAGAGAGGAGGAGGGAGGGAGATGGGGTGGATGGAGCGAGAGATAAGAGAGAGAGATGAGGAGGGAGGGAGATGAGGAAGAGAGAGAGATGAGGGAAACGGGTGGAGAGAGAGAGAGAAAGATGAGGGAGGGAGGGAGGGAGGGATGTAGTGACTGAAGGCTCAGGCATTGCTGGTAATGATCTGGTAACGTCAGGCTGCGTTGGCCCACACTGTCAGTGTCAGGATGACACTCACAGTGCCTGACCCCGGCTGACACACACACACTGACTCTCAGGGCTTTGGGACTTCCTCCCAATGCGAAAGACGATTTACAAATGTAATTTGTTGTTCTCCTTGACACCACCTGCACGTATAGCAGTGTCAGGAAACTGGTCAAACTCACCGCTGTTCAGTTCATGTTGAACAACCACACAGTAAGTACTTTATTTACGATTTTCTTCTCTTTGTGTTGTTTCATCAGTCGTTCTAGCTCAAAGAAGTCACTCGCTCCCCCAGTGGAGCTCTCTGCTCTAACCCCATTCCCTGCTCTCTCTCTCTCCCTCCCTCCCTCTCTCTCTCTCTCTCCCAACCCCCATCGTGTCTGTGCTGGTGCTCGCTCCTCCACTGGAGCTCTCTACTCTAACCCCATTCCCTGAAGCCACTTTGTGCACCCCAACATCCCATAAACAGCTGAGAAGCGACCAAGTGGTATTATCTAGGGGAGATCCAGTCTCCTCCTGTCGTGTTACCTTCCCAGCTTACAGTCCCTGGCTGATGTCTATTTGCCGTCTTGTTATTAATAATAATAATTATCCTGGCATTTGATTTAGCTCCTCATCACGTCTTTGAGGCACCTCAAAGCGCTTCACAGGATACACTGTCAAGTGAATTGACTCTATATTTTGTGGGCAAAACACGGCAGCCAATTGTGCACAGCAGCGTCACACAAACAGTCATGGGTTAAGTGACTACATTTTTTTCAATATATTGACAGAGTGAACACTTCTCATTCCTGGGCATCAATAACCAGTCAAACCTCAGTGACATGAGGTGCCGCACTACCTTCTACACAGCGCTCGGGCGGCTACTGATGGTGGACCTGGGTAAGACGGGTTTGGGGACGTTGTGTGTGGGGGGGGGGGAGGGGGGGGGGAATCGAACCCCGATCATAGAATCATAGAATCGTACAGCACAAAAAGAGGCCATTCGGCCCATTGTGTCTGTGCGGTTCTCTGAAAAGAGCAATTAATGTCAGTCCCACTCCCGGCCCTTTCCCCATAACCTGCAAATCCGTCTTCCTCAAATACCCGTCCACCGCGTTTTTAAAAGTAGTTATGGAATCGTCCTCAATCGCCCTTTCAGGCAATACGTTGCAGATTCTAACAACTCGCTGCGTGAAAACATGTCTTCTCACCGCCCCTCGTCTTCTTTTAGAGACTATTTGGAATCTGTGACCTCGAGTCACCGACACACCCACCAGTGGGAACAGTTTTTCCCTTTCTAACCTATCAAATCCCCTCATGATTTTGAAGACCTCTATCAGGTCCTCGTAACCTTCTCTGCTCCAATGAGAATAATCCCGGCCTCTCCAGCCTTTCCTCATCATCACGGTCCCTCATTCCTGGTCCCATCCTCATAAATCTCCTCTACACCCTTTCCAATGCCTTAACATCCTTCCTATAGTGCGGTGCCCAGAACTGGGGCAGTATTCTAACTGAGGCCTAACCAGTGTTTTATATAAGTTAATCATAACCTCCTGACTCTTGTACTCTATGCCCCTATTTATAAAGCCCAGTATCCCATATGCCCTTTTTACAGCGTTGTCTACCTGTCCTGCCACCTTCAAGGATTCATTTACCTGCCCCCCCAGGTCTCTCTGTTCTTTTACCCCCTTAAGATTGTATTACCGCCTATATTGCCCCTCATTCTTTCTACCAAAATGCATTACTTCGCATTTCTCCACATTGAAACTCATCTGCCATGTGTCGCCCATTTTACCATTCTGTCTATGTCTTCCTGCAGTTGTCTGATATCCTTCTCACTGTTTACCCCCTCCCTAACTTTGTGTCGTCCACAAACTTGGAAATGGTATGCTCTACCCAAGTCCAGATCATTTATGTATATTAAGAGAGCAGTGGTCTTAATACCGATCCCCGGGGGACGACACTGTACACTTCCCTCCAGTCAGAAATGCAGCCGTTCACCACAGTTCTGGATCCATGCTGCCACTGTCCCTTTTATACCATGGGCTTCTATCTAGGTCCTCTCACTTGCGAGGCGAGCGTTCTAACCATTGAGCTACAAGACTCAACAAGGTCCCACACGCACGGCATTGAGCTCCGCGCTGGCAGGGAATGAGAAAACTCAGGATATTTAAGTGCAATTGTGAGTGTGGGAGCACGTCCCAAGGTGCTGGACAGTCATAGATTTGGGGAGTTGGTTGGGATCAGGAAGGGTGGAGGGTGACCGAAGGCACGGTCGAAGAGGAGGGTCTTGAGATGTGCCTTGAAGGTAGGGAGGGAGAGAGGAAGGGAGAGAGGCAAAGGGAATGTGATGGTATGGAGTTCCAAAGGGTGGGGGCGGAAAGGCAAACCTTGAGAGCAGGAGAAAGAAGTACAAAGAGTGGACAATGATGCAGTGCCTTGTATCTGTTTCCCCACATGTCCCCCCCACCACACACATACATACACACACACAGGTGAAGATGAAGATCAGTTTGAACAGTTCATGCTGCCTCTAACAGCGGCGTTCGAAACCGTGGCTCAGATGTTCAATTCCAGCACGTACAACGAACAAGACGCCAAGGTACAGAGACGCCAAAAATAATTATAACAATCATATAATATTTATAGTAAACCTTTGATCTGATTGATATTTCCTCTGGTGGGTTGGGGGTAATCCAGAACAGGGGGTGGGGGCAGCATCTTAAAATCAGAACTAATCCATTTAGGAGTGAAATCGGGAGCAGTTTTCACCCCAAAGGTTTAGTGGGAATCTGTTTCTCTCTCTCCCTCCCCCCAAAAGGCTGTGGATTATGGCTGGATCCATTCACATTGTCCAGACTGAGGTGGAGAGATGTCTGTCAGGTCAGGGGATCAAGGGATATGGGGGGGTAATTGGAGTTGAGGTACAGATCAGCAGTGATCTGATAGAATGGCAGAACAGGCTCGAGGGGCTGAATGGCCTCCTGTGTCTACATTTCTATCTGATCCAGGCCTTTCTCCGTGTGGGTGGTGTGCGCGTGTGTGTGTGTGAGAGCGTGTGTGGGGATGTATGAGAGCGTGCGCGCGCGTGGGTGGGTGTATGTGTGTGTGAGGGTGTATTTGTGTGAGAGCATGTGTATGTGTGAGAGCGGGGATGTGGGTGTGTGTGTGAGAGTGTGTGTGAGAGCGGGGGTGTGGGTGTGAGAGTGAGAGCGGGAGTGCGAGTGTGTGTGGGTGTGAGTGTGTGTGTGAGAGCGGGGAGATGTGTGTGTGTGAGACCGGCGGTGTGGGGGTGTGAGAGTGTGTGAGAGCGGGGGTGCGAGTGTGTGTGGGTGTGAGTGTGTGTGTGAGAACGGGGAGGTGTGTGTGTGAGACTGGGGGTGCGGGGGGGTGTGAGAGTGTGTGTGTGAGAGCGGGATGTGGGTGTGTGTGAGAGTGTGTGTGTGAGAGCGGGGATGTGGGTGTGTGTGAGAGTGTGTGAGCGGGGATGTGGGTGTGTGTGAGAGTGTGTGTGTGAGAGCGGGGATGTGGGTGTGTGTGAGAGTGTGTGTGTGAGAGCGGGGATGTGGGTGTGTGTGAGAGTGTGTGAGCGGGGATGTGGGTGTGTGTGAGAGTGTGTGTGTGAGAGCGGGGATGTGGGTGTGTGTGAGAGTGTGTGTGTGAGAGCGGGGATGTGGGTGTGTGTGAGAGTGTGTGTGTGAGAGCGGGGATGTGGGTGTGTATGAGAGCAGGTGTTTGTGTTGAGAGCGGTGGGGGTGTGGGCGGGTGTGAGAGTGTGTCTGTGTGGGTGGGGGGTGGTGCGCGTGTGAGAGCAGCTGTGTGGGTGGGATGAGAGCGGGGGTAGGGGGGGCGGTGTGCGTGTGAGAGCAGCGGTGTGGGTGGGGGTGAGTGTGGGGGGTGTGTCAGCACCAGCACTTTCACACAGATAATTATCCGTTGCCATGTTCGGGGCCATGTTTTCCGTAACGTGGACGGAGTCGGTGAGGAAGGAGGGAGTTGGTAGTGTCAGACATTGCTCCAACTCGTCAGCAGCAGAAAGGAAAAAAGTCATTGTAGAAAGAAAAACATGGGGGGGTAACAGGACTTTGTGAACGCTCTGCACTGGTGTCCTGTTGTGTTTATAGCACAGTTGCTTTTAGTTGCTGAATTGACTGAGGTTCTGCTTGTTTACAGCGGACGCTGGTGGGGCTGGTGAGGGATCTAAGGGGCATCGCTTTCGCCTTCAACGCCAAGACTAGCTTCATGATGTTATTTGACTGGATGTATCCTTCCCCCAAACCAGTCTGTCCCATCGCCATTATACTAATAGCAATAATAATTATAATAATAATCCTTGCATTTGATACAGCGCCTTATCAGGTCTTTGAGAAGCCTCAGAGTGCTTCACTTAGATGTCTCTCCCCTCATTGTGAAGCCGTTTCAGTCAAGGCCTTCCTTTATCAACTATGCCATCAATCATCTTCGCTTCCACCCCATAATCAACCTTCGGGCCTTCAGCCTCTCTGCCCCCACCTTCTGGAACTCCATCCCACGTTCCCTCCGCTTCATTCCCTCCGCCTCGCTCCCTCCCTTCCCTCCTTCAAGGGCCGTCTTAAGACACTCCTTCGACCGCACCTTCGGTCACTCTCCTGCCCCTTCCCTCCCCGCCCTCCAATCCCGATCCCCAGCTCGAGTTCAAATCCCTCATTGTTCAGCGCCATAGGACGTCCTCCCAACGTGAAAGGCGCCGTATAAATGTCACTTGTTGTTGTTGAGCCGTGGCTGTGGTTTCCTTATCCTCGGACTCTCAGTTACCCAGCCTACATGCCCATCCTGCAGCGAGCCGTAGAACTGTGGTACCACGACCCAGCCTGTACCACCCCCATACTCAAACTCATGGCAGAACTGGTCCATAACAGGTACAGCCATGTGGGGGCAGTGTGGAATCATTGTCCTCTCTCTCTCTCTCTACCCTCTCCCCACCCCCCGCTCTCTCTCTCTCTCTACTCTCTCCCACCCATCCCCCCTCTCCTCCCCCCCACCCCACCTTCTATCTCTTCCCTTGTCTGCCCCCTCTCCCTCTTGCCCTCTCCCTCACCCCTCTCCCACCTACCTGCCCTCTCCCCTGCCTCCACTCCTCCCAACCTGCTCTCCCTCCCCGCACCCTCTCTCCCTCCTGTCACTTCAAAGTAGAAGTAGGAATTCGCTTGAGTTGAAGAGCCTCTGAGCCTCTGTGTGTGTGTTACTCTGTGGCAGGTCACAGCGATTGCAGTTTGACGTGTCCTCACCGAATGGTATCCTACTCTTCAGGGAGACCAGCAAGATGATCACGACATACGGTAAGCTCTGGGCACTGAGCACAGTTATTTGTACACGTCATATACTATAAAGTGTCGTGTACTCGCCCGCACTAAACCCCGTCCCCCCATCACCCCAGCCCTCGCCAGCCCCCACTGGCTCCCTATCACACACCCTAAACCCCGTCCCCCATCACCCCAGCCCTCGCCAGGCCCCACTGGCTCCCCCTCACACACACTAAACCCCGTCCCCCATCACCCCAGCCCTCGCCCGGCCCCACTGGCTCCCTATCACACACCCTAAACCCTGTCCCCCATCACCCCAGCGCTCGCCAGGCCCTGGCTCCCTATCATCAAATAGATCGATTTCAAGGTCCTCTCACTCGTTTTCAAACCCCTTCGCGCCCTCGCACCTCCCTCCCTCGCCCACCTGCTCACCCCCCAACCCTCTATCTGCTGCCTCAGCTCGATTGACTCCGGCCTCCTGCTTGTCCCTTGTGCCGTCCGTTCCACCAACGGCAGCCGCACTTTCAGCCACTACGCCCCAAAACTCTGGAACACTCTCCCTCAATCCCTCCCTCTGTCTCGCCCCCTACCTTGCCCCCATCTTCAGGTCCCCTGAAGATCTTCCTCTTCGACCGTGTCTACGTTCACCATCCCCCATCACCCCCCCCCCAGCTCATAGTCGTGCTCCGCTACTCTCAAGGACTCTGGAATGCTACCCAGAGAGGGGGAGGGTGCGCTGTGTAAACACAACAACAAGATACAACAAGATTTCATTTATAGAGCGCCTTTCATGTCGGGAGGAGTCCCAAGGCGCAGGACAGTTGTTGATGCTGACTTCCTTCCCCCTTCGTGTGAACCAGGGAACCGTATCCTCACGTTGGGAGAGGTGCCGAAGGACCAAGTGTATGGGTTAAAATTGAAGGGGATCTCGGTTTGCTTCTCCATGCTGAAGGCCGCTCTTAGCGGCAGCTACGTCAACTTCGGGGTCTTCCGTCTCTACGGCGACGACGCACTGGACAACGCTCTACAAACCTTCATCAAACTCCTGCTGTCAATCCCGCACAGCGACCTGTTGGTTAGTGCGTGTGTGTCTGGTCCATTCTCTGTCTCATTCTCTCTCTCTCTCTCTCTCTGTCTCACTCTGTCTCTCTCACTCTTGTCTCTGTCTCTCTCTTTGTCTCTCTCTCTGTCTCTCTCATTGTCTCTCTCAATGTCTCTCTCTCACTCTCTGTCTCTCCCTGATTCTCTGTCTCTCTCTCTCTCTCTCTGTCTCTCTCTCTCTCTCACTCTCTGTCTCTCTATTTTTCTCTGTTTTTGCCCAGCGATATATGCGGGTGTCTTTGCCTGACCCTCCGTTGTGATCTTTCTGTTTGCCAGGATTATCCGAAACTCAGCCAGTCATACTACTCCTTGTTAGAAGTTCTCACCCAGGACCATATGAACTTTATTGCCAGCCTGGAGCCACACGTTATCATGTACATTCTCTCTTCCATCTCCGAAGGGCTGACCGCACTGGGTAAGGCGGGCGGGCGGGCAGGAGGGAGGCAGCGCGTTACGGCTTTGAGGAAGTGAAAGCAAGGGGTTTGAGGATGTTGATCAATTCTTTTTTTTATCAGCCGGGAATCTGACACACTCGGAAACCTATCACCGTTGCTTAAGAGTCTCAACCAAACTGAGATTTCCTCACATCCCACCTACACATGGAAATCCCAGAGACAGATTCTTGGAATGGAATGCTCTCTCTCTCTCTCTCTCTCTCTCTCCCTCTCTCTCTGGAGGTCCTGTTTACCTAATTCCGGAGAATATTAGGCGCAGGTTGGCAAGAGCCAAGGCTTTGTGGGGGGAGCCCAGAGTGTGTGTTGGAGTCTAACCAGGTGAACCCACACAGAGCTTGGCCATTGATATCACTGTCTGGCCAAGCTTTCCCGCTGCTTGTGCAGCTCCGACCCCCCTCCCCGTTATGACTGCGGGGTGACCAGGAGTTGAGGGGGAGGATTCCCTGCCCCCAGTGACTGGTCGGCCCTTCCAGGTCCTGCTGATGAGCCGGGGCCGGGCTGTGCTGTGCTGCCATTAGCAGTGAGTGCCCTGGAATTCTGCGGCCCCTCAGGAACCGGGGGCTCCATTCCGACATTCCATTGGCAAGCGTGTCACCATGGAGCCAGTTCAGCCCCGAGGAGCCCCCCTGCTTACTTCCCTCGGGCGCTCTGAGACGCCACCCTGCGTGAGGTGACACTATATAAAGTTGTTGTGGGTGACTCTGACACACGCTGTGCTGTGCTGTGTTGTGTTGTGTTGCAGACACCATGGTGTGTACGGGCTGCTGCTCCAGTCTGGACCACATCGTCACCTACCTGTTCAAACAGCTGTCACGCAGCACCAAGAAGCGCACAGCGCCCATCAGCCAAGAGAGTGACCGCTTCCTGCACATCATGCAACAGCATCCAGAGATGATCCAGCAGGTCAGTGCTCACCCCACCCCCCAACCCCACCCCCCCAGCTCCACACCCACAGCCACACCTCCCCCACCCCCACCTCCCCCACACCCCAGCCCCACCTCCCCACACCCCCTAGCCCCACCTCCCCCAAACCCCGCCTCCCCCACATCCCCCAAACCCTACCTCCCCCACACTCCCCAAACTCCACCTCCACCACCCCCACAGCAGGTCAGTGCTCAACCCCTTCCCAAATACAGCTCCCAGCTTGGGCACAAAATTTTGACTGTCCAGCGCCTTGGGATGTCCTCCCGACAAGAAAGGTGCTTTGTGAATTATAACAACTAATGACATTTATCTGGCACCTTTCACATAGGGTCTTGAGGCGTAGGGACTGTAGAATGGAATTCCAGAGGGTGGGGGCAGAAAGAGAGGCTGAAGTCACCGACCGTTGACGGTGGGGCAGGCGAGGCGGGGGGCACAGGCTGGAGCCCGGTGAGCGGACAGGTTGGTAGGGGGTTAGGAAGTCACGGAGGTAGGGAGGAGCAAGGCCATGGAGGGCTTTGAAGGTGAAGACCAGGATCTTGAACTGTGATGGGGAGCCAGTGGAGTGATGGTGTAATGTGTTTTTGTTTGTGTCGCTCACTCACTCGCACTCCTGCAGATGCTCTCCACTGTTCTAAACATCATCATATTTGAAGACTGCAGAAACCAGTGGTCCATGTCACGGCCTCTGCTCGGGTTAATCCTGCTGAACGAGAAGGTACGTCTCCGTCAAACCGCCAGCACGTTTACCACGAGCAGTAAGTAAGTGAGTCAGTGGAATCGTGCAGCTCAGGGATTAGAGCCCTCGCCTCACAAGCGAGAGGACCCAGGTTGAATCCCTGCGCGGGTCAGCCCAGGGCGAAACACTGGGCAAGTTTCCTTACTCCACACACACACACACCAGCAGTCAGTAGGAACCGGGTTGTGAGTCGATTGGTGGATCGCTTTACCAGGAGTAATAATCAAAAAATAAAATAATCAAAATACAAAAAATAAAAAATTGGTCACTCAACATGCAACTGTTTGGGACGCCTCCGTGCGCAATTGGCTTCTGCGTTTCACCCACAAAAATACACAGTCACTACACTTTACAGTGAATCTTGTTGAGCATTGAACCCACAAACTTGTCACCCAGAGGAGAGAGAGCGAGTGGCTGAGCCAGCGCAGGACGACTGACTGTGTCAGAGGTGTTGCCTTCGCCGTGTGATTCGTCGCTAAATGAAGTGCTTTTGTACGTGTTTCAGTACTTTGCCGACTTACGGAACAGTATAGTGAACAGCCAACCACCAGAGAAACAGCAGGCGATGCACCTCTGCTTTGAGAACCTCATGGAAGGAATTGAACGAAACCTACTTACAAAAAACAGAGACAGGTATGTCAGAGTCCTGAGCAGTTTCCTTCACATCCTATGCTAAAGGGGCAGCGAGCCCCAGCACAGACACGATGGGGAGAGAGCAGGGAATGGGGTGAGAGTAGAGAGCTCCAGTGCGGGAGCGATCCCCAGCACAGACACAATGGGGAGAGAGAGAGGAGGGGGGGTGCAGGGGAGAGAGAAAGAAAGACATAGCGATATTGGTGGAATAACACCAGCTAACGTGCGTCTCTCTCTCTCAGGTTCACACAAAACCTCTCAGTATTTCGCAGAGAAGTGAACGACTCGATGAAGAATTCGTCGTACGGTGTCAACAGCAACGACATGATGAGTTGACGTCCATCGCAGACTCCCTCCCCGGCTGTGGGGGTGGGGGACGCCCCCCAGCCGGTGCGGGGGGTGTCGGTTGGGGTGCGTCTCTGACTCTCTGTATGTGTGGGGAGGGGGAGGGGCAGGGGCGGGCAGTGTGGGGGGGTAGAGGGAAGTCGGTTGGTGTGTGTCACCTCCTTCTCCAAGGGGGGGGGTGAGGCGTAAAGGGGTACGAAACTCCTTTTCTCCTTTCCCCCCTTCTCTGCCCTCCGGGGCATCGGACTGAGGGACTCCCGATCTCTTGCCCCACTTTCTGCTCCCCCCCCCGCCCCTTGGCAACGAGAACCCTGGGCGGGCGAGAGAGAGAGAGAGGAGAGAGCGAGCGAGCACGGCTCTGCCTTGTATAAACTTGTACATTTTTTTTCTTAAAAAAACATTTTGAACAATGTTTATATGAAATCAATTAAAAATGGAAAGAACAGTTGCTGTGATTGACATTTTTACAGAGATGGAAGGATGGGCAGTCACGAGAGGCGGTGTAAGCGAAAGTGGGGGATGTGGGCAGTGGGGATTATTTTCTTCCCCCATTCCCCCCCCTTCCCCCGTGAATTTGAAACCGAATGTTTTAAGAGGGGGAATGCGTCAGTGCGAGAAACAGAATGTGTGTGTGTGGGAGGGTGGGGGCGCGGGGGGTGGGAGGGGGCAAAGGGGTTGTTAGAGACAGATGTACAAAACTAGCTGAGAGAATACAAAAATAACAAATCTTGAATATGAAAAAATGGGATCGAGTCCGGATTTCAAGCATTCCCGATAACTGGGGTAATTTACCACTTACTTGGGTCCATTTTGAGTGCGTGTGTGTGCGTGTGATATTTTTCTAACGCTCTGTAAATTGCCTTCCACAAACGATAATGAACAGATGGATAGATGGAAAGGAAGAGATTATAAAGAAATTTGTTGCTGCTAATTGTGTCTTGAGCGTAGCTCATTTAAACCACATCAAAATGAACAGAGAGAAAGGAGGGAGGAAGGAGAGGGAGAGAGAGGGAGAGAAAAAAAAACACCAATTATATTTTTATTAATGCCCCCTTTCAACAACAAACCCAAGTACGTGTTTGTGTGAGTGAGTGAGGGGAGTGGGGTTGGTTGATGTGTCAGGATGTTTGAAGCCTATAGTGTACGCATTGTGATTGCAAATAAACTTTAATGATCTGTACTGAATTTGCCTTGAGAGTGGACTGACTTTCATCACATCAGAATCGAGGACTGCAGTCAGCAGTATTGGTGATGGTAAGATCGGTAGCAGAGGGTGGAGTTGTAGGCTTTGAGCTTTTAGTCCTGTGTAGTCCTGTGGTTAGAGCCCTCACCTCCATGGGTGATAATTCGTCCAAAATAAAAAATAATGCGGTCACTCAATACACGGCTGTTTGTGGGGACGCTGCTGTGCGCAATTGGCTGCCACATTTCATCCAAAAACAGTCAATTCACTTTACAGTGTATCCCGTGAAGCTCTTTTGAGACGCCTCGAAGACGTGATGCGCTGTATAGTGTAAGGATTATCTACAATATTATTATTGTAGATAAAATGGTCTGTTGGCTTTGTGGCTGCAAGTGGATGTTTGCAGTGCCTCAACGGGCTGTGGCGCTGGCAGGTCACTGATCTTGATGTGCCAACAGGGCTCCGCCCAACAGCAATCCAGACCTCTCTCTGTGGCTGTTGGAACATCTCACCGCGGTTTACAGCGAGGGCGGAGGGCAGTGAGTGTTATATGTTGGCAAAGGCAGCAGCGATACTGCATCCTTCAGGACCTCGAATTCTGAGGCTGTCAGACATCCTCTCTCTTTCTCTGCTTGTGTCGCTCGCGCTCGTCCAGGTATCCTCCATTCCCCCTCTCCCCCTCCCTCGCAGGCAACGTGTCAATGTCATAAACAAATGAGACGATTACTGTGGCCATTTTTTTATTTCAGGGTTAAATAGCACAACTGATGTTCCAGTTAACCTGAAGATTTGATTGGAGGTGGGGGGGAGAGAGAAAGAAAATCTGGGTTCACCCACATTCAGCGAGAAAAGCTTGTGATACCTCTCGTTGGCTGATTGACGAGGAAGGAAACGCCTGAGGGTCTAACACAACAACGTGGGAACCTGGGAAGGGAGGGCTCAGTGACTCCCAACACTGACTATAATGCAGACCCATCCACCCCCTTTGCTGGACACAATTAACAGGGTAACAGGATTTTGTGTACACCTTGTAAAACCACTGTTCGATGCCATCAGCTTTTCCTGCCCATGGCGAGTGTGTGTGTGTGTGTGTGTGTGTGCGAGATTCCAGTAACACTCCGGGTGACTTAAAGGCCACGTTAAGATTCCAAACAGTCTTCCCCAATGGTATCCGAGTGCCAGGCTCACTCGCTGGCTCCCAGAGCGGAGACCAAGGCTAGCTACGTGCCGGCCACCGACTTTGTTTCATCCTCTCCCTCCTGTGGATTCCCGTTTCCGACGTTCCCGGTTTTCCCCTTGGCCGAGCTCTCGTACACCGCTGTGTTGCAGCCTTCCCGGTTCCGGGCTATTTCCACGGCAAAGAACTGGATCCTCGTCACTGCGGGGGGGAAAAGGGGGGAAAAAAAACAGAGTCGGAGCTGAGCGTTAAGTCCTGTCTGTTAAGAGCGACCTCTTCACGTGTCGCCCACAAAGTGTACAGTCACTGCACTTCAAAGTGTATCCTGGGAAGCGCTTTGAGACGTCTCGAAGACGTGATGAGGCGCTGCATCAAATGCCAGGATTATTATTATTATTACAGGCCCTGACACCTCCCTCCCTCTCCACCTTAAGCTCCCCACTGTCTATGCTCGGCTGGCTCCGGCCTCCTGCTTGTCCCCTTTGATCCACTGTCAGTGACCGCACTTTCAGCCGCTCCCCCCACCCATCCCTTTGCCCCCTCCTTCCTCCTTTAGACAATCATAATTCTCGCATTTGCTATATCAAATGCAAGGATTATTATTATTTGACACAGCGCCTTATCAAGTCTTCAAGACGTCTCAAAGCGATTCATGGGATACACTGCAAAGTGTAACGATTGTGTAATTTGGGCAAAATGCCGGAAGACCTTCCACTTCAACCGTACCTATGGTCACCTCCACCCCCCACTCTGTGACGCGCTGCCCTATATGAGGGGGAGCGCTGTGTAAATGCAAGTTGTTGCTGCTGTATCAGCCTGGCTCGGGCTGAGTGAGCTCCTAAACTCCTGACCCGTTTACCGAAGATGGTGTTCTCCTCTGTGTAGTCCTTCGAGCAGTCCAGGCGGAGGAGTGTTCCATAGTTGAAATCTTCGACCTCGCCCTCAAACTGCATGCAGAATGACCTCCATGCCTGCAATACAATACAACGTCAACCGCCTCTCTTCCCCCCACTTGCCTCCTTTGAGACCCGTCTCAAAACTCTCCTCTTCAACCGCGCCTTCGGTTACCCTCCTACCCCCACCCTCCTGATCCCAACCAGGGATCCTCCTGACGTGAAAGGCGCTGCATAAATGTCATGTATTTTTTCCCAAACTGTCTCAACAGCCAACAGGAAGCAGCTGGGCTGTGAGCCGGGAAGAGCGAAGGCCAGACTCACGGCTTTGGCGGCCTCCGATTTCAGGTCCTCAGGATTCAGGAGACGGACGTTCAGCTCTCGGAATTGGCTTCGGAATTCCGAGTAGATCCGACTGTCGCTCTTCGTGAGTTTAAGGAATCTCGGGTCCACTGAGGAGATCAGCTGCCGGGAAAGAGGAAAGTGCAAGGGTTCACGTTTACGTCAGAATCGTCCTTACGTTTGACCCAGCGCCTTATCACGTCTTTGAGACGCCTCAAAGCGTTTCACAGGATAGACCGTAAAGTGTAGTGACTGTAGGTTTTGTGGGCGAAACGCGGCAGCCGATTGCACCCAACGACGTCCCCACAAACAGCCGTAGAATGACAAGAGCATTCCAAATCAAGAACGTGGGCGCCCCCTACTGGCAGCGAGAGGGTACTTTATGGTCAAATAGTGAGACACAAAGGTAAAGTTTTCACTATTTCTTAACTAAAAACAGAGTCATCACAAATACTGACACCAGTTACTTGATTTTAAGTCACACTGTCCTGTCTGGCTCACAGACCTTCCCTACACTCACGCACACCGACACTATAACAACAATAATAATCCTTGGATTTCACACAGCGCCTGATCACGTCTTCGAGACGTCTCAAAGCTCTTCACAGGATTCACTGTAAAGTGAATTGACTGTGTATTTTGTGGGCAAAACACGGCAGCCAATTGGGCACAGCAGCGTCCCCACAAACAGCTGCGGATTGAGTGGCCAAATTATTATTCTTTTTTTTAAGGGATTATTACCCCCAGAAAAGCGATCCGTCAATCGACTAACAACTGGGTTCCTACTGACTGCCGGTAAACAGAGGCGTGTGTGTGTGTGTGTGTGTGTGTGGAGTAAGGACACTTGCCAAAGTTTCGCCCTGACCCGCCCGGGAATCAAACCCGTGCCCTCTCGCTAGTATCTGAGGTCAGAGAGCACAGTTCACAGTTCACCACACACCCATTCTGGTGTCTGTCACGACAAATCGTTACGTACGTTAAAATAGATCTCGGCGTGTTGATAGGCTTTCATCGCCCACATCATTTCTAGTTCCGGCTGAAAAACACAAACAGAAACATCAGCTCACATGAGAGGCCGGGCCAGGCTCCCTGTGGCTTTACCCACAAAGAGGAAGTTACTCCCTCTCTCTCCAGCTCCTTCCCACTGTATTCCCACTGGAACGATTCTGTCTCTCCCTCTTTCCTAAAGTCCATAATAATAATAATAATAATCCTGGCACTTGATACAGCGCCTCATCACGTCTTCGAGACGTCTCAAAGTGCTTCACAGGATACACTGTAAAATGAATTGAATGTGTATTTTGTGGGTGAAACGCGGCAGCCGATTGCGCACAGCGGTGTCCCCACAAACAGCCGTGGGTTGAGTGACCAGTTTATTATTATCATTATTTTTTGGAAGGGATTATTACCCCCGGAAAAGCGATCCGCCAATCGACTAACAACCGGGTTCCTACTGACTGCTGGTGAACAGATGTGTGTGTGTGGGGGGGGGGGGGGGGGGGGGGGGGGGGGGAGTAAGGAAACTTGCCCAATGTTTCGCCCTGACCTGACCCGCCCGGGAATCGAACCCGGGTCCTTGGGGCGAGGCGAGGGCTCTAACCCCTGAGCTACAGGGACATTATGATGAAGTAGATACTCACGTCATTGCCATATGATTCCGCGGAGTGAGAGAGTGCGGCAGCCGCAGGCATCAGCTCAGAAGCACCCTGAGGGACAGACAGCGACAATTAGCCAGAGCCCAGCAACCCCGGGGGAGGCGGGGGGGAAATGGAGCCGACGGACACCCACTTCCCACACACTCCAGGGGAGGCTGACCTCCAGGGGAATAACACCCACATAATAATAATCCTCGCATTTGATATATACAGTGCCTTATCAGGTCTTCGAGACTTCTCAAAGCGCTTCACAGGATACACTGTAAAGTGTAGTGACTGTGTATTTCGTGAGTGAAATAGCTATAGACACAGCCCCCGCCACTATGAAAAGGGTCAGAGCTGAGCTGGTGGCCCCCATGGGGAGGGGAAAGGTGATCAGGGAGATGCTGTGAGCATTAGAGGCAGTGAGTCAATGTAAATGCAAATGTAATCTTGTTGTTGTTGTTGAGTCAGTCACCAGATGATATTGTCACTCGCTGACCGGTCAGCGTCAGCAATTTTACACACCGGCCGACATAGGCAGATTGGCCCATAAGAACCCCCCCCACACACCACCCGCCCTCAGCCCCCACTCCAACCCCCCACACACCACCCGCCCCTCATTCCCCCCCTCCAACCCCCCAACCCCTCATCCCTCCCTCCAACCCCTCCACACACCACCCACCCCACAGCCCCCTCCAACCCCCCACACACCACCCGCCCTCAGCCCCCCTCCAACCCCCCCACACACCACCCGCCCTCAGCCCCCCCTCCAACCCTCCCACACACCACCCGCCCCCCCTCCAACCCTCCCACACACCACCCGCCCTCAGCCCCCCCTCCAACCCCCCACACACCACCCGCCCCTCATCCCTCCCTCCAACCCCTCCACACACCACCCACCCCACAGCCCCCACTCCACACACACTCAGACAGACATTCACACACTCAGATACACACACACTCACATAGACACAGATACAGACAGAGACACACTCACACACAGAGACACACTCACACACACACACTCACACAGAGACACACTCACACACAGAGACACACTCACACACACACTCACACACAGAGACACACTCACACACACACTCACACACAGAGACACACTCACACACACACACACACACAGACACACTCACACACTCACACAGAGACACACTCACACACAGAGACACACACACACACACACTCACACACAGAGACACACTCACACACACACACACACAGAGACACACTCACACCCAGAGACACACACACACAGACACACTCACACACACACACACTCAGACACAGAGACACTCACACACACAGAGATTATATATAACACAACGACAGAGAGAGAGAGACGCACATGTGAGGACACAGAGAGATTGTATGTAACCCACAGCCACGAGGGTGAGGGTGAGACACAGTGACACACAGTGAGACACACACAGAGCCACGAGGGTGAGGGGGAGACACACAGTGAGACACAGTCACGAGGTGAGGGGGAGACACAGAGGGACACAGACAGAGAGATGGCGATATGAGAGACAGTCACTGACCAGTGCTCTGAGCGCCGCCATAGCGGTGAGTGTGAGTCACAGTGAGTGTGAGGCTCCGCCTCTCTCTCTCTCTCTCTCCGGGGAGGGGGCGGGGCCCGGGGTCAGGGGGCGGGGCCCGGGGGCGGGGGCGGGGCGGGGGCGGGGCCCGGGGTCAGGGGTCGCCGCGCGCCGCAAACGGATACATTTTCGCGACGTTGTATCGTTTTGTTTGTTTGGGGGTTTTGTTACTTTATTTGATACATTTCCCGCCTTTTCCCTCCGATTCAGAAAATAGTGGAGTTGTTTATTTTAAAAAAATAAAAAATTACCCCTTTTTTATTATCTTTTCCCGTCATTCCTTCCCCCCATTCCCCCCCTCCCTCCCCCTCCCCCCACACACACAGACACCGCAGCGGCTCCGACTGACACTCTCTCTCACACTCTCAGGTCTGTATTGTCTTTATATTATTATTATTTTGTTCATATAAACCTTTACATCACTCATTATTGTCATATGTGTAATATCACAGACAGAGAGGAAGCGATACAACAGCACAGTCTGAGGGGAGAGGGGGAGAGGGGGGACCACAGTGACTGACACTCACACACACAGATTTTTATAATCTTTATATTATAATATTTATAGAGATCTTTATATTATTATATCACAGAGTGAAAGTGGGTGTAATACAACACAGTCTGAGGGGAGAACCACAGTGACTGTCACTGAGATACACACAAACACACACACAGATCTTTATAATATATTGATATAAACCTTTATATTATTATATCACAGAGTGAGAGGGTTTAACATCACAGTTTGGGGGGAGAGAGACTCCCACAGTGGCTCTCACTGAGATACACACACACAGATTTTTATAATATTTATACAATTATATTGATATAAACCTTTATATTATTATTGGACAGAGAGAGAGTATTTCACAACCGGGAGAGAGACACCTACAGTGTTTCAGACTGAGAGACACAGATACACACAGATTTTTGTAGTATTGATATTATTATATTTATATAAACCTTTATATCATTACCATATCAGAGAGAGAGTATATAAGAGACTGTAGGGAGAGAGAGCACGACAGCAGGAGACAGACACCGAGAGATACAAGTCTTTCTAATCTTTATTATTATTTATATAAAACCTTAATATTATAATAATAATCCCCGCATTTGATACAGCACCTGATCACGTCTTCGAGACGTCTCAAAGCGCTTCACAGGATACACTGTAAAGTGTAGTGACTGTGTTTTGTGGGCGAAATGCGGCAGCCGATTGCACACAGCGGTGTCCCCACAAACAGTTGTGGATTAAAGTGAAGCGCTTTGAGACATTCAATGATTATTATTATGTTATTACTGTTGTATCAGAGTGAGGATATAACACAGACTAAGTGAGGAGAGAGACAGACAAATCTTTATTATTTATATTGTATTTGTATAATAGTGAGGAGCGACACAGAGAACAGGTATTATTGTATTTATATAAAACCTTTACATTGTTGTTATATCGGAAAGAAAATAGAATGTAACAGATCACAGACTGAGGGCAGAGAGACAGAAACACTACACACTGCAGCTCTTTACATTATTGTACTCTGTTTTATTACTTATCTTCATATTATTATTTTATTATTTTATAATGTCAGACAATACCAATGTAACAGACTGTGGGAGACAAACAGACTGAGACACACATCGCACAGGTCTTTATATCATTATGTCTTTCTGTTAACTTTATATATATGTATAGTATATTAGAGACAATATAACATGTGGGGGAACAGATCAGGACGGACTGCGACTGAGACACACAGCGCATTATATCTATATCATTAAATCAGAGACAACAACAACTTGCATTTACACAGCGCGGCTCAGACGGAGCGCTTGACAGTGGCGGAGCACGATACCCAGTCGGGGGGAGGGAGGGGGTGACACTGTCAAAGAGGAAGGTGTTTAGGTGTGATCTGAAGATAGACAAGGAGGGGGCGAGGCGGAGGGAGAGGGAGAGAGTTCCAGATGATAATAATATATGTTATATGTTATAATAATAATCCTTCCATTTGATATCGCACTTTTCACGTCTTCTCGACATCTCAAAGCGCTTCACAGAATAGACTGTAAAGTGAATTGACTGTATATTTGTGGGCGAAAGCGGCAGCGAATGGTGGAGCGGAATGGACGAGGAACAAGCAGAAGGCAATGGTTAAAGTGCAAGATCTTTAGATGGACCTTCGGTCACCCTCCCACCCCCACCCCCACCCTCCCACCCCCACCCCCACCCCCCCCCCCCCACCCCCCCCACCCCACCCCCACCTTCCACCCTCCCACCCCCACCCCACCCCACCTTCCACCCTCCCACCCCCACCCCCCCCCCCCCCCCCCCCCCCACCCCCACCCCCCCCCCCCCCCCCCCCCCCCCCCCCCCCCCCCCCCCCCCCCCCCCCCCCCCCCCCCCCCCCCCCCCCCCCCCCCCCCCCCCCCCCCCCCCCCCCCCCCCCCCCCCCCCCCACCTTCCACCCTCCCACCCCCCCCCCCCCCCCCCACCTCCACCCTCCCACCCCCACCCCCCCCCCACCTCCACCCCCACCCTCCACCCTCCACCCCCTCCTGATCCCAACCCCTGTTCAGCTCGGGTCCAAACCCCTGACTGTCCGGCGCCTCGGGACGTCCTCAGTCCTCCCGACGTGAAATGTCATGTGTTGTTGTTGTTTTGCTTACAGTATCAGAGAGAAGGGACAGAGGATAATATTACACAGACCAACAATGGCGGCTTTTACACCAAATTATCGTTATCCATAATAATCTTCATTATATTGGATTATTTGACTCATATTTTTATAATTATTTTTATAATTTGTAATATTTTATTATTGCTGCGCGCAATCGGCTGCCACATTTCGCCCACAAAATACACAGTCAGTTCACTTTACGGTGTAACCTGTGAAGCGCTTTGAGACGTCTCGAAGACGTGATGAGGCGCTGTGTCAAATGCCGCGATTATTATTATTATTTTCTCAGAGATCATTTTAAAAGAGACAGAGATAGGGGGGACTTCACAGCAAGTCTTTTACCTGAATATATTATTCCAATCTAGTCAGAGAGTAAGATTGTAATATAACGGAAAGAGAAAATATAGACAGAGGGAGAGCGAGGGGGATAGCGTTGGAGAGGGAGGGAGGGAGGGAGGAGGGGGCCTCATTTTGTGTGGTTTCCAGGCTCAGGAAATCCTGTTGCGAGACACTGACTCACACTGAATGTCGGCTCGAGGCACACACACAGCGGCACATACCCCCACCTACACATGGAGACACACAGACAGATACACACAGTCTGGGGTTTGTTCGAGAAAATACGCATCCACCCATTACCTCTCCCTCTCACACTCTCTTTCTCTCTCTCTCTCTCTATGTATCTCTCACTCTCTGTCTCTCCCATTCTATGTCTCTCTCTCTCTCACACATTCACCCACTCTCTCAACCACTCTCACCTTCTCTCTCTCACACGCTCTCTCTCTCTCTCTCTCGCTCACGCACTCTCTCTGTGTCTCTCCCTCATGCGCTCTCTCTCTCTCCCGCTGTCTGTCGCACTGCCTCTCTATCTCTCTCGCACACTCTAAAAGAGCTCTCCAAATCAATCCCACTCCCCCACTCTCCTCATAGCTCTGCAAAGTTGTCCTCTTCTTTCACTCTCTTTCTCTCACACACACTCTCTCAGTCTATGTCTCTCTCACCCACTCTCCTC